TACTTACGCTGAATTCCTTTGCAGGAATTTGTGATCTGAGTTCAACAACCACTTACTGAGTACCTCCTATGCGTAATGTCCTATGTGTATACCAAGACAAGAAAGACCTCATCCTGGTCTCAAGAGGCGAACTGTCTACTGCAGGAGATGGGCAGGTACACAAATGGAACCTAAGGCCAAAAGCAAGGCGATCCTCTTAGAGTTTTAAGCACAATACACAGAAGTGTGGACATAGGGAATGTTGAGGCCTTGTGAAAGAGACGGTGCAGAATTGAAAACTTTGAACGAGAGTATCTCAAGATTTTTTTTTTCCTTCAAAATCATGCCCTTTTCCCAGTTTTTTTTAAAACAATCTTTAATGTTACTGAAATTTACAATAGTTTGCATTCTGTGAGTACTTAGTGTAATTTATTGTAAATAAATTAATTGGATGCTTTTACCAACTGTATATGTCCTTCCTACCTCAAGCTGTTATTTGAGGTAAGGCATCCTTTCTCCAAGAAAAGAGTTTTATTTAAAATAATAGTGAGTTTTTAAGGTATCTTTTTGGGGGCAGCTGAGAATTAAGACAAAAGTACTAGATACTTCTTTGAATGTTTTTTCCTAACTTATATGTGTATATCTTTTTAGTCTGTGGTGTTCTCAACGTCTTAGTAATTTCTTTAATTAACTACTTTATATATTTGCCTTAAATTTTTATTTTTGTGGTGCTGGGGATGGAATTCAGGGCCTTGCTAACACAAAGCAGGTGCTCTGTTATTGAGCTATAGCTTGCTCCATCCTGCCTATGCAAATGCTTAAGTGCCTGTTAATTTGTTTGATGTATAACAAACCTTTTGAGCTACCACTTTTTGTTTTCCAGTAAATAAATACTCACAAAATAATTATTTCAAGGGACATCTAAATGCCCGAAAATTATGCTTTTAAAAACTGGGGAATGCATTTCCATTTCAATATGAATAATTTGGGTTATGGCCCATTTTGGATTATCTGTCTTACTTTAGGGGCATCACAGTTGTAATACCCCTAAGTGCATTGTAAAATATGCTAGACCCCTTCTACATAGATTGTGCTTTCCACGACAAGTACAACCCTTTAAAAAGCAGCATATAATGCAAGACAGACACACCATATTAAAGTGAAATTGGTCTGTGTAAAATTGATATGGTGCATAATGTTTGCATTAAAGCCTTGAAAGCTAGAGGATATTCTTCATTGTCTTTCCCCTGGTAGTTCCCTCCTTTGTTTTCAGGATGCCAAATTCAAATGCTACAAGTAGTGTTAACAACTTTTGGATGAGGTAGCCATTGGAGGTAGCCTGGGAACCTACATCATTTTAATGGTATTTCCTTGGCTAGTTTTATTCTGCTCTCCACAAGTGATTCAGAATCGAATATAGGAATTATATTTCTTGAGAATACTATAAAGCTTTTGTATGTCCCCCATAGTTTTCACCACAATCCTCTGACAGCAGGGACTCCCAGTTGCTTACTTAATGAGTGAAATGCCATTTTTTTCCCCATGAACAATTTAGATCTGAAACTAGCAGAGGTCTTTCACCTCCTTGGTTAGATTTATTCCTAGATGTTTTGTTGTTGAGGCTATTGCGAATGGTATTGTTTTTTCTGATTTCTTTATTAGCACACTCCTTGGTATACAAGAGACGGAGACATATTGAATTTTGTATGCTGATTTTAACCTACTACTTTGCCAAATTTGTTTATTAGCTCTAGCAGTCTTTTAGTGGCATTTTTTTTTAATCTTCTAGGTACAGGGTCATATCATCTGCAAACTGATAATTTGATTTTTTTTCCTTTCTTATTTTTATCCCCTTTCCCTCCTTCTCTTGCTTAATTGCTCTGGATAGAATTTAAAATAATTGATCATAATACTGTGTCCCAGTAAATCCATATATGTAGAATAAAATTTTAAAGTATTTACATCTTACATTGAGGGGAGATATCTGCTTAAAAAATGATTTTTTTTTTTTTTGCTTTTATTCTAAGATACAATTGTCAACAATATGTTAATTTCTAGGAAATGAATACTTGTACATTTACATATTTTTCAGTAAAATAGAGCCAATGGACTTAGAATAAATATCTATTTATCATCTGTCCCCATTTAGCTTGTGGTAGTCATGATTTGAATTTTCATCCTAGGTTGCCATTTTGTGACCTTGAAGACACAAATTATTCTCAGTGGACCAGTGACTCCATTGAGTGCCTCACTGCCTTTTTTTTTTTTTTTTTTGGGTACATCTGGTGACATATTATCTCACACAAAAGGGCCCTCCAGCCTGTTAAGTAGTAACAACCTTTCTCACCCCCAAACAATGAGGTATCAGATGATTGCAGCCTGAGAAACAAAGGATTCCCACTCCTTTTCAGAGAGGATTAGGGTCCTAATTCCCTCCCCTCCTGATGAGACTGGCACTCAGGAATATCTAGTTTAGTCTTTGCTTTGTTAATAGAGGATCATAAAGAGGCTCTTTGTTATGCTCCTCCTTTTCTTCCAGCAGGATGTATCCATTATTTTGGTTTGTTGCCTGGTACTTGCAGCAGTTCTTCAAATAGCACCTTGAATGGTGGTGTTTTTTTTCTTTTGTCGGAAAGCATAAGCTTTATCTAAATAATTACTTTGTTCACAAATCAAACCCCACAAAACTAGTGTTTTCCACAAATGCACTGACTCTAGAACATTCTTTGCCCCATGTAAAATCAGCATCGATTGTGGATTAGATTTCCTTTCTTTCCCTATTAATTTTCAGGTCTTTTGCGTCCTGGGAATGCTTATTTGTGGCTTCTCTAATGATTGTTTTGTGTTTCACAGGGTTTGTGGATGCTTTAGAGCATTTGGGAGGCACCCTTATTACTAGAATCTTGTTCATTGTTTGGCAGAAGATGAGGGGATTAATTGTAAGGGTATTGAATGAAGTCAGGTGATGCTTAGATGCTCTAGTTAAGGAAGGGGCATAGTGGGAGAGGAAGAACATCAGGTTTCTGAAGCCTTTGAGCACACCTTATTTATCCAGTCATTGCAACAAAACAGTATATGGTTTAACTAGTTCTTCTGCCCTCCCTCCCTCCATCTCTCCATCCTTCCCTTCCTCCCTCCCCCCTGCCTCCCTCCCTCTCCCTCCCTCCCCCTCCCTCTCCCTCCCTCTCCCTCCCCGTCCCTCTCCCTCCCCCCTGCCTCCCTCCCCCCCTGCCTCCCTCCCCCCTGCCTCCCTCCCCCCTGCCTCCCTCCCCCCCCTGCCTCCCTCCCCCCTGCCTCCCTCCCCCCCCTGTCTCCCTCCCCCTCCCCCTCCCTCCCCCTCCCTCTGCCTCCCTCCCCCTCCCTCCCTCCCCCTCCCTCTGCCTCCCTCCCCCCCCTCCCTCCCTCCCCCTCCTCCCTCCCTCCCCCTCCTTCCCTCTGCCTCCCTGCCTGCCTGCCTCCTTTCTTTTACAGATTAACAGAGTTTCATTCCAGACCTGAAAGTGATCATTGTAAACATAAGAAAATAAAAAAGGATTTCCATTTGTGTGTGTGTGTGTGTGTGTGTGTGTGAGAGAGAGAGAGAGAGAGAGAGAGACTTTTCCTAGATAAAAAACAACTGTGTACTATAGTCTAGTGAAGTTCTACATGAAAAATTCCTGACAAGATTAATATGCCCTTCCACGCCCAGCAAGGTTCTTATCATATTCTTGGAAAAATGCATTCTTTAAAGTTATTTCCTCTCAACTGTTTGGAAAGATCAGTGTGTAACTTTAGAGCCTTAACTTCAGAGTCAGAGTACCTGGGTCTAAGTCTTGATTGTCTGCACTAGTTGTGTGATGTTTGGGAAAGCTTATTAACCTTTCTGGGTCTCCATTTTTTCTCATGGGCAAAATGGGAATAATGGTACCTACTTGTAGATTTGTTGTATGCAGTCTGTTATTAGTGAGTTAATAACACATAAGGTGTTTAGAACAGCGTTTGGCAGGAAGTACATGTTAGCTGTTGTTGTTGTTGTTTTTTTTTAATCACCTGAATCATAATATTTGAATGTCTGCTTTTTTAAGAAAAGAAATGCAGAATTTAAAGAGATAAGATAGACTTCAGGCTTTTCCACCCAATGATTCAGAGTCTGTAGTGAAGTGAGAACACAGGTAGAAATACTTAAATTGCTTAACCCAAAGATAGTGGGAAAATTCAACACCCAAACACGAACACCTATCTGTTGGAACTTTCAAGGGCCACCCATGGTGCTCATAGGATTTTTGAGTTTAAAGAATTTCAGTTTAAAGAACTTAGCATAATAATACTCCAAGTGTGACCAGCTGCTTCAGTGTTACTAAGGTTCATTAAAAGATAGATAGATAGATAGATAAATAAATAAATAAATAAATAAATAAATGTAAAATCATTTGGACCATAAGCACAGGGGCAGAGAGCCCAGGAATCTACATTTTTAACAAGCTTCCCTGGTGGTTCTTAGGCATGATGAAAATTGAGAACAGCTGGTGAGAGCAGTTGGCTCTAGAGGCTTGCTAGATTCACTTGGGGAACATTTAAAAGATTCAGATGCTCCAATCCTGGCTTAGCCATCCTGATTTAATTGTTTTGGGGGTGTGGCCTCGGTATTAGCATTAGGAGGTTATTATAATGGGCAGCTGGAGTAGAGAAGCAGTGGTATTAGAAGACAATTAGTGAAGGTGACTGTTGACATAATTTATTATATCAGGGATGTAAGCTGACTTGAAATTTTCAAAAAGTCATTACAGTGGTTATCAGCGTCGGGATGGAATAGGGGATTATTTAATGGGCATAAAATTTTTGTTTGGGATGATGAAAAAGTTCATGAAATGGATGGTGGTGATGATTGCACAACTTTGTAAATATATTTAATGCCACAGAACTTAAAAATGGTTAAATGGCAAGTTTTATATTGTGTATATTTTGGGACAATTAAAAAAACACCTCTTAAAAGACATTATAATTTACATATTCTGAACTGTATTATTTTTTTCTTTTCACAGTGACAGGGTATCATGTATGCCACTGATTCCAGGGGACACTCCCCTGCTTTCCTGCAAACTCAGAATGGAAACAGCCATCGATCACCTGGTTATGTTCCAGGGAAGGTCGTTCCCCTGCGTCCCCCTCCTCCTCCAAAGAGCCAAGCTTCAGCCAAGTTTACCTCCATCCGACAAGAAGCACAGGCAGCCTTTGCATTCTCACCTGAAGAACAGCAAACACAGAGAGCAAGCCGGAAGCAGAAGCGACACAAGAATACTTTCATTTGCTTTGCTATAACTAGTTTCTCATTTTTTGTTGCACTTGCAGTCATTTTAGGAATATCCTCAAAATATGCTCCAGATGGTAAGTATATATATGTGTGTGTGCGTGCGCGCGCGCATGTGTGTATATGCTGCATACCTAGAACACATTCCCAAAGAAGAAAGGAGGAAATATTGGAATAATTTTTAAAAACTTTTTTTTTCCATAAGTTGGCTCTAGCAAGCCAAGACACAGTTAGGCAATATGAACCTGTTATGAATAAGAACAGTTGTTCAAGGAATCCATTGGAAATTATAAATTTCAAGGATTTGCTCTTCTTTGCTCTTTTTCCACTTGGTCCTGGTGCTCAAGTTGTTCTTGTAATCTCTCTTTTGGAAATGCTTTTAAGAGTCTTTACTGAATTCTTGTGGTAGCACAATTTCATCGTTTGTGGTAGAATGATTTTTGGACTACCGAAAGTATGTTTTTGTGTCATAAATATGATAAATTGGTGTTGATTTAAAAAATGATTAAAAATAATCATAATATGTTTTGGAATGAGCTTAGTAGACAGTTCCAAAGGAGGAGCTTTAAATATTTTTTAGTTATATACAGTGTACATCCTTGAAGCAAAGCCTCTCTGAGTATGTGTAAATTCTGACACTTAAAAAAAAAAAATCACCCATTACTTCATAGTTAAATATCATGTAGGGAGGTTTTTATTTCTTGAATGGTCTTTGCTTTTCAAGAAACAATATCAGCAATTCAGTGATAATATATTTACTTTGAATGATTTTGAAGAATTTTGTTGTCATTCAGCTTTAATAAAACACTAACAAAGAATTGCCTCATAAAAGAAATCTATGTATCTTCCAAAACTCAGAGGGCTCAGGGCTGTGACTGAGATCATCAGACCATTTCAGCCTGGCTTAGATGCTGTATTTGTCTACTTTTTTTTTTTTTTAAACAAACTCTAAAATAGATTTCCCCCACCGCTTTAGTTAAATTAGATGCTTCCTTAACTAGATATAACAGCTGAGGGACATTTTGCCATTTATAAGACTTAAAAACATTATTTTATTTATCTTTCACAGATGCTTTTGGGTCCCCAAGGGGGGGGGGGGTTAGTGCCAGTGCTTCTGAGACGATAGATGCAAAAGAAGAAAGATTTGTATCAACATCTTTGTTCCTCAAACCATTAGAATACATTATAAATTTGTAACATTGATTTCCATTCTAGGCAGTATTGACTTCCTCTCTCCTTTTCGCAGCAGAATAAGCAAGTTCCCTTCTGCTGTTTCATACTTCCCAAGTAGTCTGCAGTAAAGGGATGTTAGATAGTGGGAATCAGAGCTGAAGTCTATGGCTTTCCTTTGTATTTTCATGTCCTTTGAAAATGTTGAATTGCTAATGTAGTTCCTTGAGTCAACATTCTTTAGTTTCATATTTTGGCAATATAAATACAGATTATCCATGGAAAGATCTGTCATGCTGAAAAATTTCAGGCTCAGCATTTTGCTGTTACCACTCTAAAAGTGGGTAGCTGAGAAGGTGAGATTGGCTGAGCTGTTTTTCACTGCTGTCTGCACACCACACATTTTGTCATTAAGTGAATTTTACTGGAAGGGAACAGATTGGAATTTTTGTGATGGTTCTAATGAAGAGTGCTCCCCTGGGGAATAATTATAAACAATTAAGAGGAATTATATAACTGTTTTAGTGGACTCCAGATTTCAAAGGATGGGATTTCCCTCTCTGTAGCTGAGAATAGTGCTTGTTACATGTGGCATAAATTAACTTTATTTCTTTTTTCTTTTTTTTAATTGGAGATTGAACCCAGGGACACTTTACCACTAACTTACATCCTCAGTCCCCACCGCCCAACTTTTTTTTTTTTATTTTGAAACTGGATCTTGCAAAGTTTCTAGGACCTCATTAAGTTGCTGAGGCTGGACTTGAACTTGTAATCCTCCTGCCTCACCCTCCTCAGTTGCCAGTATTTCAGGCATGTCCCATGGCTACATTTGCTTCTTATATAACTCCATGGAGAATTCCAGCTAGATGTTTTAAGGGGGAGTGGGGTGTTGAAGAAAAGTTCAAGAAATTCTTAGTAGTTGTCAGAAAAAAATTTAAGAGATTCTTATTTCCTTAAGAGAATGAAAAATTGAAGGATTTCCACTCTGCTTTCTGTTCTGGGGATTAAATCCAGGGATGCTTTACCATTGAGCTGCATCCCAGCCCTTTTTCTTTTTTATTTTGAGACAGTGTCTTGCTAAGTTGTCTCCTTTTCTATATTGCTGGGATTATTGGTATGAGTTACCATGCTTGACAGATTGTTTTTATTTTTATATATTTTATTCTTTACAGTGCTAGAGATTGAACCCAGGACCTTGTGCATCTTAGGCAAGTGCTTCACCTCTGAGCTATACCTGCAGTCCCAAGGATTGATTCTAATATAATAGTGATGATCATTGATTTATCTGAAGAATTAAATATCAGTCATAAAACAGCTGCTATGAGAAAAATTATTTCCTAAAGTAATTGCCACAGACTTAGCTAGTGGGACTAATTTGAGGCGTGGTTAGTGTCACCTCTGAGAGAAAGCAGTAAGACTAGGACAACATAGGCACTTGGAAACAGGAAGAGGGTCGCAGAAGGTTATGCAAGTTCAAAGGGAAGAATCAGAAATTTTTCTATGTAGAATTTCTTTTGTGTTACACTCAGTTTGCCACTTTAACAAAGATATATCTTCATGTGTCTCTTCCCCCTTCCCCAGCCTTAGTTCCTAGAGATTAAATACCCAGCAGTATTTAACCCCTGAGCTACACCCCCAGCCATTTTTTTTTTTTTTTTTTTTTTTTTTAAATTTTGAGTCAAGGTCTCACTAAATTGCTTAAGACCTCTCCAAGTTGCTGAGGCTGACTTTGAACTCCTGATCCTCCTGCTTCAGCCTCCAGAGCCACTGGGATTACAGGCATATGTTACCATGCCTGGCTCTTCATATGTTTCTCGAGCATATCTTTCTTATTACTACCTTTGCTTAGTTTAAATACAAGTGACTTGTTAGTCTAGCTTGATGAATCATGTGGACTTGGATGGCAGGGGATACATGCATATCTAGTATTTTTATCTCCCCTTCATGCTCATCTTGTTTAAATACTATCCATCTTTTGGGGTCTAGATCTAGTGCCAACTGTTTCATGAAGCTGCTGTAATTACTCTGGCCCCATCCTCCCCTGAGGTCATTTGTACCTTAAAGTAACTACCACCTTGTTCAGCACATATCATACCTGATGGCTTTTTCTTCTAAGCTAGCAGGTAAACTTGAATGTGAGCTCATTTTATGCTTTAGAAGTTTTATAGTATGTATTACAAATGCACAAATCAATCTTCAACAAATACTTGATCATTAGTTGATCAGAAGTGAAGGTGTGATTTTCCCCCTTCGTCTTTCTCATTGTGGCACAAAATAAGGATTTCATGCATAAATAGCTGCAGTTTCACTGTCACCTGTTCGAGAGGCAAGTTGTAATTCTAGTAAAGGAACACTACCAGTGAAGAACCTCATTTCTTAGAAGCAGAACTTTCTCATCACTCAGCTTGCTAAGTGATCTTGGATTTGGCTCCCCTAATCTGAAATTTCCTCATCTCTGCAAATGAGAGGTCATGTTTGTGGCTACTTGCCTCTTGCAGTTTCATGGGAAAGCACACATGACTGAAGATGCTAGTATTCCTCAGCCTCTGCCTTGGAAGGAGGTGCTACGATGGCCCACTTTGTGATTCACTGTGCATAGGAAGGAACTTGTGGATATCCAGTCTACGTATTATTTAGCAATCTCCATTTTTCACTTACCAATATGTTGTGTTTTTTTTTTCTTTTTGTGGTGGTGGTGGTCAAACCCAGGATTCACACATTCTAGGCAAGTGCTCTACCACTGAGCTACATCTCCAGTCCTATATTTTCTTTTCTAAAACAACTTAGTGTGAGTCCAAGGGTAATTTATAATTTCACTTCTTACTGTGAATTTATTTCCAGAGTAGATGGTTTGGGGGAACTTCCTTTTTGCCTTGTGAAGTTTGACCTGAGCTAAATGCTGGCCACTTAGTTTTGTGGTAACCATTTTTTTTTTAAAATGTTGGGACAGTACAGGAAAGGGGTGGAATTTCTACCCTGATGTTAGGAAATCAAAATATATCAACACCTTACTTGCAAAACTATATGTAGTAGTGAGAATGCTTGGATTTGGTTAATGGTATTCTTGCCTTTTGCTGGGTTGGATGGGATATCAGTGTTGTGTTGTTTTATAGAGAATTGCCCAGATCAAAACCCGCATCTCAGGAACTGGGACCCAGGACAAGATCCTGCAAAACAAGTTTTTATCAAGGAGGGAGATATGTTCCGCCTGACCTCAGATGTCACGGTGAATTCAATAGTCATTGAGAATGGAGGTAGGTAATTGTCCCTGCCTGCAGAGACTGCAAGGTTGATCTTTAATATGGGGGATATTTGCTGTTCCTTATAAACTATTCTTAAATGGCATAGATTTGGGGATAGAATGTCACTCTAACCATGGAAATGTGTTTCCAAGATTGAGCCATGGAATTCAAAAACTCTAAGGACCTTACAAATCACTCGATCCTTTTTATAGATAGGGAACAAGAAAGGTGATTATTTGCAAGCTGAATCTGTGTTACAACTGACGGAGAATGATGAGAGAGTTAACATGGGTTTGCATAAACAAACATGAGATTCAGATTTATAGACTCTTAGCTATTTTTTCTAGAAATGATTTATTTCTAAATTGAATGGATTGAAATATCAACTCTTCACTTTTTCATTGGCTTTATTTTGAAAACTAGTTTCAGTTTCTAAGCAAATTTTTCCTAACTTAATAGTGGAAGTGTTATCTTTTCTTTGTTTCTTTCTTTTTTCCTACTTGAGGGGAAATCTATTCCTGTGTGTCTCAGAAAGATGTTCCAGAAGTTGGCCTACAATAATGTTGTTCCCTACAGGGCTGCTTGTATTTGGGGATGATAAAGATGGATCCAGAAATATTACTTTGAGGACTCGTTACATCCTGATCCAGGATGGTGGGGCGCTTCATATTGGAGCAGAAAAATGCCGCTATAAATCCAAAGCGACAATTGCTTTGTATGGCAAATCAGATGAAGGCGAAAGTATGCCAACATTTGGCAAAAAGTTTATTGGCGTGGAAGCTGGCGGGACACTGGAGTTACATGGGGCACGGAAGACATCATGGACGTTGTTGGCAAAGACGCTGAATACCTCAGGCTTGCCATTTGGGTCCTATACCTTTGAGAAGGACTTTTCCCGGGGCCTCAATGTGAGGGTCATTGATCAAGACACAGCCAAAATTTTGGAAAATGTGAAGTTTGATACACATGAGTACCAAAATGAGAGCAGGCGACTTGAGGAATTTCTGAGAGTCCAGGATCCGGGTCGAATTGTTGCTATAGCTGTGGGAGATTCAGCTGTCAAGAGCCTGTTACAAGGAACTATCCAGATGATCCAGGAAAGGCTGGGGAGTAAGCTGATCCAAGGACTGGGCTACAGGTGGGCATGCCTTATTCTTTTTCTCTCTAGCTCTGTGTTGGAGTCTTTGTTTGAGAAGAGAAAGGAAGTGGGGAAGAAATCACCCTTTATAATAGAAAACAAAGAACACTAAAAATGAGCCAGCACTACATGCAACATGAATGATATTCAATAACATAATGCCCGAGTTAGCCGGGTTGGATCGCCAGATATGAGATTCAGAAGTGCTTGTCTTGGCTGTCAGTTATGAAGGCCTTTGTGAATTATCTTGTCAGGTTTGGGAACAGAACAGAAATGTGTTCCTGAAAACCAGTCAGGTGGCATAAAGGCTGATTTGCCTTCAAGGAGACTTCCTCTTTTCATTACCTCTTGAAGACAGAAATTCTGAATGATTCAGGGAACTTAGGGGTTGAAAGGTTAGGGCACAGTTCCATGCTAAGTTTTAAAACCCAAAGGGGTGGGGCATTCCCAGTTTCCCTTTTCTTTTGGAACCCTTTGCATACTGTATTTCATACTTTGAGTGCATGTTTATACTTTGAACCCACTTGTTTGACTCAGGTCTCTAGAGTCCTAGCATCTGTGAGGAAGGAAAAAGTCTTACTGTCATCTAGACAGCCAAATTTATTTCTACTATTTATGGTTCTCGTAGCATCTACTTATTAACCGTGATTTCTTAATGCAATTCTGAGTCTGGGGAAAGTAGCTGGCTCAACATTTAATTCAAAAAACAGAAGTTTTAATTCTGCTGAATGTTCTTAGTAAAGTTGGGAAATATCTGCATTGAGAAAAGTAAGAGGACCTCAAAACCCAGAGACTGAAGTGATCTAGTAGTAGTTTTTTTTTCCTCTTTGATGGTAGGTTATTGAATGGAGTATTATCTATAGAAATTCTTTTTTTTTTTTTTTTTTTTTTTGTCCCATGGATTAAACCCAAGAATGCCTAACCATTGAGCCATATCCCCAGCCCTTTTTTATGTATTATTTAGAGACAGGGTCACACTAAGTTGCTTAGGACCTTGGTCAGTTGCTGAGGCTGGCTTTGAACTCAGGATCCTCCTGCCTCAGCCTCCAGAGCTGCTGGGATTATAGATGTGCTCCACCCTGCCCAGTATAGAAATTCTAGAAGACAAAAATTAGTGAAGAGAAAGGGTGTGTAATGCTTTGGAAATGCCTTTCTTTCACCTTTGATTAGAAGATGCTAAGTGCTGGATGCTCATTAACGTTTAGGTACAAGGATACTACCTTAGAGTCTGTCTTTAATCTAGTGAGTAAACTAAGGCTTGCATGCATGCTAACTATGCAGTAAGTCACTGCGGTTACAGGGGATAATGGAAACAAATAGAAAGAGCCCATAAACTGACCTAGGGAATTGGTGCTGGCCAAAGGCAAGAGACCTGGAGGAATTTCAGCAGTGTGCTGTGTAGACAGTGAAGGAGGAAAGCTTCCTATACCAGTAGCAAAACCTCAGAGGGTTTTGTGTTGTTGTTTAAATATAATTCATACAGAAAAGCGTTAAAAAGAATGGAGACTTTACTGATTTATCACAGAATGATCACTTGAGTTGCCAACACCTAGACCAAGAAATAAAGCATTACCAGCAGCCCATCCACCTGCAGCTGGGCCCTAATCACTCCCTCCAGAGCAAATGTTTCCATTCTCCTCAATTATTTGTCTCTGTTTGAGCTTCATATAAATGGAAGCAGACAATAGATTTTGTGTCTGCCTTTTTTGCTCAGCATTATGTTATTGAATGTCATACATGTTGCATGTTGTGCTTTTATTTTCTGTTGTAGGAATTTACTACCATTTCGTTACTGGTGGACATCTGAATGGATTTCCAGTTTGGACCTGTTATAAGAAATCCCTTTGTAAATGTTCCTTCACCACCTCTTGATGTACATGTGCAGATATTTCTGTAATTAATAGACCCAGGAGTAGAAACATGGTCTTTTCAAAGTTAGACATCTACTGTGTTAGTCAGTTTTCCATTGATATGGCAAAATACCTGAGATAATCTGTTTATAAAAAGGAAATACTTATTTGGGCTTACAGTTTCAGAGTTTTCAGTCCATGGTCATTTAGCCCTATCGTTTTGGTCTGTGGGAAGGCAGAACATCATGATGGGGAGCAAGTGGTGGAGTGAAGCTGATGACCCCATGGTGGCCCAGGAAGCAGAGAGGAGGCTGGAGTCCCAATATCCCCTTCAAGGGCCTGCCCCCAATGACCTAACTTCCTTCCACTAGGCTTCACCTCTTAAAGGCTCTAACACCACCAGTAACACCATCAGCTGGGGACTGAGCCTTTAGCACATGGACTTTTGAAAGACATTTGTGATCTAAACTTTAATACTTGCTGTGTTATGCTTTGTTTTATTGTTTAGCAATGGCAGGGGTTGCAATGTATATCCTCCCCACCCCTCCACCTGCCGCCTACCAGTGCTAGGGATTGAATCCAGGGGCACTCTACCACTGAGCTGCATTCCCAGACCTTTTAATTTTTGTATATTTGAGACTTGTTCTCACTATGTTGCTGAGACTGGCCTTGAATGATCCTCCTGCCTAAGCCTCCCAAGTTGCTAAGGTTACAGACATGTGCCGACACACACCCAGCTAAACTTCTCTTTCTTAACACCATCATTGTTTCTAGATTTTTATGATCACCAACTGTGACTATTTTGACTTTGGTTCCTTTACCTTCAAGAATGGTTTCTAAATTCCCTTTAAAATATTTTCACTGACTCCATGGAGGAATTTCGAATTGTGATCTTTCGCCAACGTTCCATTACATTGACATTATCTCCAATGTGCATAAACATACACTCCTTTGAAGATAGTGTTCTAGTGCATTGAAATTTTCATCAAGTGGAGGAGGGAAGTAGGAGTGTTTTGGAGATAATGTCAGTAGAATGGAACATTGTTTTATAGTTGCTGAGGCAGTTCTGGTAAATAAAGGAAGCCTCTGACATTCTTTCTCTCCTTCCCTCTCAAATAGGAGATAATAAATTGAGACATTCTTTATTTGATCTTTTCGGCTGTATCAAAGGATACAAATAAGAGCTACAAAGCATTGTCAGCCAAAGAGTAGCTAATCCACACAGGGGTGGCTTTGGGTTTCTAAGGGTGTAGGCATGCTTTGGTTAGCTTTTGTCTGTGAATATCCAGCCATCTGTCTGGCATAGATTATATTTGGCATTTTTTTTTCTAAAGTAGGAAATTCACATTTTTCTTTTCATGTTTTGGATCAGGAGGCTTAAGGCAAATTTTCTTGCTTTTGTTATTGTGTATGTGTGTTTTTTTTCCCCTTTGATTCTAGCCACCACACATTGAGCAAGTCCCTTTGATATTTAATATCACAGAAGTAAAGTGGCATTTTCAAATACTTTGCTTTCAACAAATAGACAGTGGTATATAAAATCAAAACTCTGTTGAATAGTAATTCTGAGACTTAAGAATGTTAAGAAAGTCTAACTCAGCTGTTTTTCAAACTTGCCTGCACACCTGGAGACTTTAAAACTTCCTGATGTCTAAAGCCTGTCTTAGAGCAGGATCTTACTGGTAGGTAGGACCCCCAAGCAACTGAAATGCAATCAAGATTGGGAATTCCTACTGTAATATTCAACTGAAATGCAATCAAGATTGGGAATTCCTACTGTAATATACATGTATGAAGATGTGAATCAGGCATGTTTGCTTCTAACATGTTGGTTACTTCAAAGTTTGGAATTACAACCTCATGGGAAAAGCAAGGTCTCAAGGTCAGGGGTTCTCAAAGTTCGGTCTCCTGACCCAGCAGCATTAGCATCTTTGGGAAATGTATTAGAGATGGAGATTCTCAGGTTCCACTTTGGGTACTTGGGTGGATCTAGCATACTGCCTCACCCTCTAGATGGTTTTGATGCTGACTAAAGTTTGAGGGCCATGCTGTAACACAGTGGTTCTGAAGTCTACCTGCACATTTAGGTCACCTGGGGAACTTTAAAAACATCCTAATGCTGGTCCCAAGCTTTAGATATTTTGATTGCATAGAACTGAATTAGGTCTGAGCATTGACATTATTTCTAAAGTTCCCTATGTGATTCTATGATGCATCTCGATTTTTGAGAACATTATAGAAGATAGTTTAAAAGAGAACAGGGAGTAATCATTTAAAGAGAAAGACAGTAAATGGATCTGTGCCCAGAATGATATGTGAGTGATATGGGTGTGTACTGAGGAAGGAAGTCCATGATTAATTGACACCATAGTCATCAGTGTTCCACCTGTTAAAGAGCTAGACAAGCAAGTATTTGCGAAAATCAGGCATGTTTGCTTCTAACATGTGGTTACTTCAAAGTTTTGAATTATAACCTCATGGGCAAAGCAATCTGTAAAAATGAAATCTATATGCTAAGTGAAGTTAGCCAATCCCAAAAAAACAAATGCCGAATGTATTCTCTGATATAAGGGAGGTGACTCAAAATGGAGTTGGGAGGGAGAGCATGGGAGGAAGATTACCTCTAGATAGGGAATAGAGGTGGGAAGGAAAAAGAGGGAGAAGGGAAATAGCATGGATGGTGAAAGGAGACCCTCATCATTATACAAAATACATGTATGAAGATGTGAATTTGGTGTCAACATACCTTATATATAATCAGAGATATGATAAATTGTGGTATAAAGATGTATTAAGAATTGTAATGCAAAAAATAAATAAATAGATTAAAAAAAAAGAAATCTAAAAATTAAAAAGCAACCATTACATCTGTGTTAGAGATTTAGGTCATTACTGTGACAGATAATCAGATGGACACACTCTTTTTTCTTCTAGGCAAGCTTGGGCTTTAGTTGGTGTCATTGATGGTGGAAGTACTTCTTGCAACGAATCTGTGAGAAACTATGAAAACCATAGTAGTGGCGGGAAGGCTCTGGCCCAAAGAGAATTTTATACAGTGGATGGTCAGAAGTTCTCTGTGACAGCCTATAGTGAATGGATTGAAGGTAGGCAAGGGTGGTTTATACTCTTGTAAGACATTGGTAAGTATTGGACTAGATTTTTAAAAAAATAGTATTCACATGACTGGTTGGATTCTTTACCAGTTGAAGCTGAGATTTGTTTCCCTATTAAAATCTTTTAGATTCAAGAGCTCTTCCTGGATTCGAAAAATGATCTGTTCTAGTTTGAACATCCCAATTGGACTTTGTTCTTGATTTTTTTTTTTTTTTTGAGTCATAGTGTGTGATTAAGTAGTAAAAATTAATTTGTTTCCTGTTGGCACTAACTGAACCAATCTGAATGTGATAGGGTGAGCTTTCTTTGGTTATGTGCAATGATAGTGAGCCTGATTTGTACTTTGAATCTTCTCTTTATGTAGATATACCACCCAATATTACCTTTGAACACTTGCTGTGCAAACAGACTTCTCACTTACTAGGCAGTTTTTCCCCACTGATGATCTGGCAAATACACTTTATCCTAAGAATCAAAAACACAGAGAAGTGTAAGATAAAAATGAATCTTCAGCCCTATTATTTGGAGATAATTATTTCAGTACATGATAGTCTAGGATCTTTTTTCTTCTATGTCTTCCTTCCTGCATTTTGCTTTAACCTGCTTCCTAACAGTTATTTTATTTATTTGAATTTTCTTCAACATAATTTTTTCATAATTCATCTTTCAGGATTATAGTTTATTCAAATATTGCCTAGCACAGGTGTTTAGGGAGCATCTGATTTTTTTTTTCCTTTTAAGGATGTTTACTGTAGAATTTAAAAATGTAACCCATCTTGCTGCCAAATTATCTTAGCTTCTTCTTGTCTGTGCTTGTCTATTATCTTTCTTTTCTAACTGAACATAAATGCCTTTCTTTTCTAACCAAATATAAACAGAATTAATGTGAAATGAACAAAATTAAGAGGCGCTTGTCACATGTGTGATTACCCAGAAAACTTTGATTTAACCTGGGCCATACCTCAGTTTTGAGCAGCAATGTAGCAAAGTGTTTACTAACATGGATTTCTCTTGACAGAATGCCTGAGCTCCCAGCCTTGCTCTTTCACTTAATATGTGATCTTGGGCATGTAACTTTAACTTCCCAAACCTCAGTTTCAATGGAAGCTACCACATAGGGTTGCAGAGGTGAAGAATGTGAAGTTTTTATTTTTAGCACAGTGAATGTCGCACTCAGTTATGTTAACAATGATGCAAACATGATCGGGGTTATAAGGATGTTTTTTATCACTATGATTAAAGACATTCTTTTTCTTTAAAACAACAATTAAAAGGAATCCCTGACAAATAACAGGAACTTTCACATGTTGCCTCCAAGCAACTTTCTGGGTTTGGGGTGAGGAAAATGGTATTTTTTAATACCTAAGGAAGTTGGAATCAAGCCCTAGCTTTCTGCTTCTAAGACTATTCCTCTTTCTACCGCACCATGGTTGTCTCTATCGAAATAGGTGGTGAAAAGCTTTTCTTAGCAGTATTTGGTCCTGTCAGTGGAATTTCGTGATCCTGTCTCCAGAAGGTTCCAGGCAGGGAAGATTACTGACGGACCTTGATTCAGCTTTTCCTTTGTAGAAAATGTCTTCATTTCCACATTAGTAATGACATTTCTGGAGGAAGGAACATTCTTTCTGTATCATAGGCTATTGTTTGTATCCAGTATTCTCAGTGACTCTTAGTTTCTGGAAGAGGTGGAAAATCTCCCCAGGAAGCAGGGGACTGAACTTATTTCCTTTTTAACTTCCAATTCAATGTGCTAATAGGAGATAACCTGTAGAATTTTCTTCTAAAGCTAGAAAAAAGTGAGGAATTGCTGAATGGTATGATCCTTCCCATCTAACCTTCTCACTTTCTTTTAAAACAAACACATTCTCATCATCTTTCAAATTCAGACTTATTTGTCTTATAGCTTACTTTTTAAAAAGTATTTTCATGTGAAACAGTGAATGTTCCTTGGTTGCCCCGCCCTTCTTTTTCTGGGGATTGAACCCAGGTGCACTTTACCACTGAGCTATGTCCCTAACACCTTTTTTTTTTTTTTTTTTTTTAAGTTTTGATGCAGGCTCTTGCTTTGTTGTTGAGGATGGCTTTGAACTTGCAATTCTCTTGCCTCAACCTTCAGATTTGCTGGGATTATAGGCATTTGTCACCATCACTGTTCTAGCTGCCCTTTTTATAGGGGGAGTGTTTTCTTTTATTAAAACTGAAAATTTGGGAAATGATTGTGGTTGCTGCTGTGGAGCTTTTAATTATTTTTGTTCTCAATTTTCCCATTTTTATTCTTGGAAAGAGAGAGTAATATACAGGTTAAAAAAAAAATTAGATTATGGGGCTGGGGATGTGGCTCAAGCGGTAGCGCGCTCCCCTGGCATGCGCGGAGTGCTGGGTTTGATCCTCATACACCACATAAAAAAAAATAAAATAAAGATGTTGTGACCGCCGAAAACTAAAAAATAAATATTAAAAAATCTCTCTCTCTCTCTGAAAAAAAAAATTGGATTATGCCTGAGGCAGCGCATGCCTGAAATCCCAGTAACTCGGCAGCCTGAGGAAGGAGGATCACAAATTTGAGTCCAGCTTCAGCAATCTAGTGAGAACCTGTTTCAAAATAAAAAATAAAGAAATTGAATTCTGGAAATAGATTAGTTTTCAGTTCTGGGGTTTTTTAAGCTATATTTTTTAGCCATTATCCAAGCTCCTAGATCTTGTTTTTTTTTTTTTTTTTTTTCTAGTGAATATAATTTCTGTCTCTCACAGTTTGGATGAAAGGTGATTATGCATGTGAAATTTTTAAAAGTTATTATTATAATTACTAGAGTTATTATTATTTATATTACTTTTTTGGATAAAATGCTATTATAGGCTTCAGTATATGGATGAAAGAATTATATCAAATAGCATCTGAAGTTTATGAGGTATTTTTATGACACACAGAAACAGGACAGCTCAAAGTGTAAAAGGACAGAATCCAAAATTTTCCCAGGTTAGGTTTTATCTGGATAGTTGGCTCAAGGCTGTAAGACTGTATATTATTCCTTCTTCCTTGCTTGAATTTCCTTCCTTTTGATTTCCCTGGCTTAAGTAAATGTGTTCTTTGGCTCTCGTCATTGCCCTGTAGAGTCAGCATCCTAAAGTAGCCCCAGAGTAGTATGTTGTTAGAATGAGAGAGAAGTACAGATGTTTATTACAGATGTCTTAAAATGGGCTATTTCTCTTTCTCCATTGATGTTATGAAGTAACTGCCTTCTATTCCAGACACATTTCCATGAGATTAGCTTTTGGCTCATGACAGATTCCATCATGGATGTTGTAGAAGCAGGAAATGCAACCCTGGGTTGCATTTCGAAGAAGGATAAGTGATGGAGAAGTTGATAATCTTTTCAGTTCACCTCTGCCTAATGGGGAACCAGCTTTGAATTTCAAAGGAGATATTAGGAAAGATCAGTCATTAGTAGTTACTAGGTTATATAATTTACATCATCCCAGGAATGCAGTACCATCATGTGCCCTTGGTTCACATTATAGATCAAGCTAGTCATACTTGTTCACTCAGCAGACATCTGTGGAGCTGTACTCTGAAGAACATAGAGTAGTGAGTACATCAACGGAAGCATGTAGCAGCTTTCACTGATGCACCTAAAGTTTATAAAAAGGTGGAACAGTGAAAGGCTCAGTGGTGAATACCTTTAATCCCAATGATTGCAGAAACTGAGGCAGGATAATTGCAAGTTCGAGGCCAGCCTTAGCAATTTAGTGAGACCCTGTCTCAAAATGAAATATAAAAAGACCTGGGGATGTAGCTCAGTGGTAGAGCACCCCTAGGTTCAATCCCTAGTACCCACCCTCCCCCAAAATGGTGAACAGCAAGAGTTGGGGGTCAGTCCAGGTAAAGGATGAAGTGTTTATTACATATTAAGTTTGTTTTGGTGGGGCTGGGGCTGGGGCTGTGGTAGAGCACTTGCCTAGCACGTGTGAGGCACTGGGTTCAATTCTCAGTACCACATAAAAATAAGTAAATAAAAGTAAAAAGAAAAAATAAGAATGCTTAAACAAAAAGATTGTTTGGGGCAGTGTTACAATTGTAACACTGAGTTGAAATACAGCAAGGGATCTGGGGATTGAGAGTCGTCAACATTTTAAAGCATAGTTTACAAATGTGATGTTTTTGTATCATGGCTGGTGGTGCATCAAGGTCTGTTTCCTAGAGAGCTAGGACATATATTTCCATATTTTTATCATTCATACATGCAGAGTGACTGGCATGTGCATAGCACTGGTAAATATTTCCTAAATTCCTTTTATCTTAACTTTTGATTTGTGAATCAGGGAGAAGGTTGATTTTAGAAAAATACAATCCTGTTAATACATCACTTTTTTGTTTTTGTTTTTTTGTTTAGGTGTTTCTCTTTCAGGATTCCGGGTGGAGCCTGTGGATGGAGTGAAGCTTCACCTGCTGGATGATGTTAGTAGCTGGAAGCCTGGAGACCAGATTGTGGTTGCAAGCACAGACTATTCCATGTACCAAGCTGAGGAGTTCACTCTTCTTCCCTGTCCCGAGTGTAACCGTTTTCAGGTCAAAGTTAAAGGTATCAGACTATTAAGAGTATTTCATGGGAAACACTCTTTCTTAGGGAGTTGATTCTTGGAATCATTTTTCTACCCATTCCTTACCATGATGATGATGATGATGATGATGATCATCATCATCATCATCATCATCAATATTAAAGATCTTGGCTAGGTGCCATGGTGCATGCCTGAATCCCAGCGGCTTAGGAGGCCAAGGCAGGAGGATTGCAAGTTCAAAGCCAGCCTCAGCAAAAGTGAGGTGCTGAGCAACTCATTGAGACCCTGTCTCTAAATAAAATACAAAATAGGGTTGGGGATGTGGTTCCATGATTGAGTGCCACTGAGTTCAATCCCTGATACCCTCCACCTTAAAAAATAATAATAATAATAATAAAAGATCTTAACAGTGTAGGACATTGAACATTAGCTTCCAGAGGGAATTAGAAATACTTAATACACAACATTCTTGCTATTAATGATGTGTAGCAGGCAAATTAGTGTTTCTGTGCGTAGGTTTCTTGGTAAAAAATAAAAAAGATGTGGACTACCTGGTCTCCTACCTATAATCCCAACTACTTGGGAGTCTGAGGCTGGAGGCAGAAGTTTGAGGCCAGCCTCAGCAATTTAGCAAGTCTGTGTCTCAAAGAAATAAAAATAAAAAATTGGGGATGCAGCTCAGTGGTAAAGCACCCCTGGGTTTAATCCCTAGTACCAAAAAAGATGTGAACCAGATGAATGGATTTTCCAAGTCCTTTTTAGTTTCTTTTTTATGAATTTCCCATTATTGCATAGTAACAAACCCAACTATTAACCAAATCCATTTTTGGGGAAATGTTTTCTTAACAAAAAAAATTATGATTTTTGATTTTTGCTTGATAAAAATAAATCTAATTTTTAAAATGGAATCTAGTAGATATTTTTATAACCGTCTTTCCTGTCATAATTTCGAATAATACAGTTTTTTGAAGGAGAGCAGTACACAAAGGGTTTCTCATTGTAAGCTGAGTATAGAAAGAATGGCTGACACCAGGTACTTCTTGTGAGCCTGATACTCTGCAAAGCCCCCTGTAGGTTCATATATGAGATTCATTGCACATTCTACTTATTGTTTTCCTTGTTTTTGTATTCAAGGTAGTATAATGATGGTATAAAACAAAAGAGTTTACAGTAACTTCAATAAGTGTAATAGATCATTCAGAGCTTTTTCCAGTAATTTAGTGTAATAGATCATTCAGAGATTTGAGATTTAAAGGAACGTGTTCTACTAAAATAGGATGATTGGCTTACTCAGCTTTTTTTCTCTGCGCTTCATTCAGTGTTATACTTTTCCTTCTCTTGATAATACAGGGCAGAGGCAAAGCAAACAAATAAAAAAAACTAAAACCCCAAATAAAAGCAATTAAAAAAAATCCCCCAGAATGATACCATCTGGCATTAAAAATTTTTTGGAAATTCCCATTCCTGATGACAAATCTACATGATTTTGATCTCTGTAAACTCAACTTGATGATTTATTTGTATTTTTCCTTCCTGAGTTTATCTAAGAGCATCAGAGAAAAAAACTGATTATGAAATTACTTCTGAACTTCCAGTAAAGGTAGCCATTTAAAAGAATGTGTACTAATACTAAAACAAGAGTGGGAAAGAAAAGATGGTAATTTTTGTATGGCTAATGTCCAACTGCAGATTACTTTTGAAGTAGGAGCATAAACAACTTGACGCCCTGATTTTAACTACTTCATCATCATCTTCTTCTTCTTCTTTTTTTTTTTTTTAAATAGATTCACTGCATTTGGTTCTTGATATGTCCTAGGCTAGAACAAGGAGAGGAGCTAGAGGGAAAGACTAGATTATTAAGCAGATTCCAGGTCCTTAATGCTGTTTACAGGAGAATTGGGCTACTTCAGCAAGCTCTCTGTTCCTGCCTGTGTTTGAGAGTTGGGAGGACAACTGGTAATGAGGATTTAGGCTTCGGGTGGGTGGTTGGACCAGATAATCTTTGAAATTGCTCTTCCTGGGATGCTGTGATTTGGAAGTTTGGAGAATGAAAGATGACAAGCTATTGATCGTGTTTTGGGGTTATGGAATGGAGAGGAATGTAGTTTTGAACTAAGTTCCATATTTTCTTTGTTGGAATATTCTTTTTCCTTTGCTCACAATGACCAGAAACCCCTCAGTTCCTGCACATGGGAGAGATCATAGATGGTGTAGACATGAGAGCTGAGGTTGGAATTCTCACCCGGAATATTGTGATCCATGGAGAAATGGAGGACTCATGCTATGCAGAAAATCAGTGCCAATTCTTTGATTATGATACCTTTGGGGGACACATCATGGTGAGCAAAAGGATTTGACAATTTCTTTGAAAATCCTAGTTGCTGAGTACATATTTGAAGAAACCTTCAAGTGGTTGAGATATATGGATAATAAAAAGAAATCATATTTTATTTATCTTTTAAATAAATGAGGATATTTTTAAAAACAAAACAAAATAATTGCTTCTTTATTTAGCTGACCTGGGCCTATAGCTCAATCGTTTTAGAACGTTCCTTTAAGAATTTATTAAATCAATATATTTTGAAAAACCCAAATATACAGAGACAAAAGAATAAGTAATCTTGTTGTTAGTGCATACAATTTCTGAATCAATTGGTTCTTTAAAAAATATGATATTACTAAAGAGAGAGAAGTAGTATATTTGCTTATTTCTGTATATATTTTTAATGCGGATTTTTATTCTGTAAGAATGTTGAGTACTTAGTACACAGGAGGCAATATTCTGTATTCTGTTGGATTTCTGGCAACATGTGTTCCAAATCACTTTCTTCACTGACTAGGCTGTGGGTGTTTGCAGCATTCCTGTTTCACTGACTTTGGAAATGTTGATCAGCGTTATTCCTATGTTCTTAGTTATATCATTGAAAATCTAGTGCTTAAAAATATTGCTCCAACTTCAGATCACAGAAGAATTTTTTAAAAAGAACCTAAGCAAACAATATTCTGTGGTAACTAAAATATTGGGGAGAACTTAGAAATATATAACTATTAGACTCTGGCAGAGGTTATAGAAATAAAAGAACGAGATTAGGAATGACCAAAATCTAGATAGTCCCTGACTCAACAATTTTTCAATTTTTACAATGGTGCAAGAGTGTTATGCATTTGGTAGACACCTTACTTAAAATTTTGAATTTTGATCTTTTCTGTGAAGAGAGCTGTGCAGTTCTGTACTCTAGAGATTCTGGGCAGTGGCAGTGAGCTGCAGTTCCCAGTCAGCCACAAGACCACGAGGGGAAAGAATCCATACTTAGCTTTGTTGCTAAGCTAGGATGTTTTGTAGGTTGGGTACTAAACAAATTTTTTTTCATCTTTTATCTCTTTACCGAACCCAGTGCCTCACATGTGCTAGGCCTGCATTCTACTACTGAGTTACAACTGCAGCCCCCTAAACGAATTTTTGACTTACAGTATTTTCAGTTTAATAAATGGTTTTATCTGGACATAACCCCATCCAAAGTTGTCAGGGAGCACTTGCATTTGAACAAGTCAAAACATACAGAAATCATTGTTGGCAGCTTTCCTGGTTACAGTTGCCTTTATTCCTAATTGAAAGCTATTTTTATAGCATTTTAAAGCATTCACTTATATAATGAAGCATCTCCTAAATTATTAATTAGGGATCTGGGAAAACAGGGTGCAAAAGAAATGTTTGAACATGTAGTATCCTTCAGATGTTTGGTATTTAAACAATAGTTTTTGCTTCTTTCCTCTTCTCTGAAGTGTCAGTTTGCTTTTGGTTACCTTGTTTTATAGATAAGGAAAAATTTTACTGCAGTCCATCTCTCCTATGTGGAATTGAAGCACATGGGTCAGCAGCAGCTGGGGCGGTACCCTATTCATTTTCATCTGTGTGGGGACGTGGATTATAAAGGCGGGTACAGACACACAACATTTGTGGATGGACTGTCTATTCATCACAGCTTCTCCAGATGCATCACTGTGCATGGGACCAATGGCTTACTGGTGAGTAGCTTCCATTACGTTGATATTATCTGTCATTGAAAGGTTGACTCTCCTTAATTCCCACGACTTCTCAGTTTTGCTTAAGTAAACTATTTCTCTCCATACCTTACTCTAAACTGCTGTTACTGAGAATTCTGCTATTTTTCTGTTTGAAGGAAGCCTACATTTTTTATCATCCAAATTATCTTCTTCGGCGAGAAATAAAATTTGACTTTGCCCCTTCTGCTAAGATCAAAAGCTTCTTTTTGCATTTGTACTGTGTGCTGTGCTGAGCCACACTTGTCACTTAAATCCCAGTCCATCTTGTTACTAATGACATTATATACTTGTATTTCTGCAGATAAAGGACACCATTGGATTCGACACACTAGGTCATTGTTTCTTTTTGGAAGATGGTATTGAGCAGAGAAATACTTTGTTTCACAATCTGGGACTCCTTACCAAGCCAGGCACTCTCCTCCCCACTGATAGGAACAACTCCATGTGCATCACCATGCGAGATAAAGTATTTGGAAATTACATCCCTGTCCCCGCCACTGACTGTATGTGAGTAATTGATAGAGAGGAAAACTCCTGTTTGATGGGCAAGGCCTGTGACTTTTGGGGAAGGCTTTTTAGAGGAAGTTGTTAATGGGCATGCTTTTTCATGAAGAATGTTTAAATCACCTTCAAAAATGCCTTGCAGGGCTGTTTCAACTTTCTGGATCGCTCATCCCAACAATCATCTAATTGATAATGCAGCTGCAGGTTCCCAGGTAAATAATACTGAAGTGTTTTCAGATTATTTTTTGTATTATTCATGTTTATAAATGCTCTGGTTTATAAGGGTGTGATGTCTTGCGTGCCTGTGGAACCCAAGTATGAACCTCGTTTCTGATACTGCTTGTCTGGTTGAGAGCAGGAGACATCTGAGGTGGTTTTTCTAAATCATTTATGACAGTTCATTTCCATAGTTTATTAAGGGGAAATGAGGTGAGCTGATCTCCAGGGTTAGATCATCTCCAGAGTGCATTTGTAGTATGTTATGTGTGGTCTTTCTGGATTCTCATGTTTAAGTCCTACTTTGTCAAGAAACTGATCATTTCAATTTCTAGTGTTGATGAGCAAAGAAAGCCTCAGCTTTTTGTTATGGGAGTGGATTAGTCTTGAATGCTGTCCCAATTGTCACTCTGATTGAGTAGTACTTCCTTTTATTAAATGCAGGGATTGTGAGCTTTTAGGTATTTTATGTCCTTGATAATGTAGCTAAAAACTCAAGTGATGTGCCATGAACCGACTGAATTGTTTAAGACACACACACACAAACACAAACACACACACACACACACATGAATAAGGTTTAAGAAAATAAATAAATAGAATATTTTTTAAATGGTAGAAATGTTCCCTTGATAAACCTGGAGAAATTTACACTTACAAGTGAGTGTGATTTAAAACTACTAATGTAAAATATGAATGAATATTGTTAAGACTGTAACTGTGCTGAAAATTACAGTAGAGAAATATCAGCATTGCAGTAATACCTAAATATTTGTGTTGCTACATCATGACTATTTAAAAACTTAAAAAGGAAAGGAATACCCACGTCATTTCTAAGGATTAAGTAAAAGATTAGTTGAAGGAGGTATTTCTTTTAGATAAGAATATGAGTGTCACTAGGTGACAGTTGAACTCATATCTGTGCTTTTTCTTTAAAGCATAAAACGTAGACTGGAGGTCCCTGTCATTTGAAGATTTTTATTTGACAGGGCAAAGACATGGGCATTTGATCATTTCAGGCTTTTATTCATTCATTTTTCCATCAAATATTTGTTGAGCTTGTGCGAGGTGTGTGCCGAGAGTGTCTAATTGGACACTCTCAGAGTAGGTTGCAGCCTTGCCGGGCACCATCTTCTGATCTATGCTGCCTTGCACGGCAGCAGCCAGAGCAGAGCTTCTTTTAGCTCTTTCCAGAAGTCAAGGGTTGAAGAATGAAGCAATTTTCAATTCCTCCATGAAAATGTGAGGTGAGATTACCAGATGCCCTTCCAGGGCCCCGATAAGAATAATGAAAGCATCCTGTGTATGTTCTGTTTCATTTCGTGGATTTCTTTCTTTCTAAAAAAAAGTCTTCTCCAGTAAAACTAGTGTTTGGCAGAGTTTTCCACCCAAAGGAAACCAAACTGTTTCTTCATTGTATCTTTCCATTGCCTTTTACAATGCTTCCTGTACCTGTTTTGACACCACAGAGTTTAACAGCAAACAGATGCTACCCTTCAACCCCATTGCATTCTGGGAGGGTCCACTTGGTCCTCAGCTCATAGGGGTATGTTACTGGACTTCTCGCCAGCACTTCGAGTCTGCTGTTGAGTTGTCTGTTTTGTTTCCAAAAGAGTTGAAGAGACAAACATTTTTTTCAGAGTAGTTTATTTTATTAAAACCCATTTGTAAACGTTTATCGTGGAAACAAGTTAAATATTACATTCATTTTGTACATATGCTTTCTATAATTCATCTCTCCTTTATGTTCCTAGAGGATTTGGCAACTAATATAGTACTTACTACATATATTTTAGTTATTTCTGTATTTCTCATAAGACTGAATTATTTGAGAATAGTCTTTTTTTGTACACCTGGCACGTAGTGTACATTAAGCAAATGTGTACTGAATTTGAATTAATATTAATCCTTGTATACTGTATGTTTATGTTTGAACAACCTGTTTAATCAACGTTCCAAAATGTGAAGTTTTGTCCTTCACATTGGGCCAATTTTCAATCATAATATAAAAAATTTTTACAGGCATTAAGAACATTATTTTCCATTTTCATGTCTCATTTTGTCAAAAATTTTTAAACTGTTCTCCTGTTATGGGCAGCAATGTTGAAATTGAACAGACAGGCTCCAGACGGAGACAGCATCCCGATTCATGCATGTGGTGGTTTTTATTTTTCCTTTGGCACGAATTTGCCTCAGGACAGGAAGGGCATTGGAGTTATTTGAAAGAAGTCAGTGAGCTCTACATGCTAGTGGACAGTTGTTTAATAGGCATGACTCATCTATTGATCAGGTTTGGAGGTAAACAGAACAAAACCACATTGCTTAAAGGCTGTGCTGTCCTGGTCACATGGAAGGCTTATTTGATTCTAAATCTGCATAATGTTGTAAAGTAGATAATAAGAGAAAGTTGTTTTGAAAGGAAATTTTAGCATCAGTCAATTATTTCTTTAAATTTGATTTAAAAATATGCCTCATATAATGCTTTGAGGCTGCTAGATGTGTGCACAGCTTTTTGTAGTCAATTCTGGACCAAAAACAATGAAAAATTTGTGTTACAAAGATTTAATGTTGCTGGCAAAGCAGTTAAGGTATGAGGGTGATTCATAGAGTGTCTTTATAATATAAGGCTTTAATGATCATGCTCTTTCATTTATAGGATGCTGGAATATGGTATTTATTCCACAAAGAACCTACTGGGGAGTCCAGTGGATTGCAGTTCTTAGAGAAACCAGAACTCACTCCACTGGGTATATTTTATAACAACAGGGTCCATTCAAGTTTTAAGGTAGGTTCTTAAATTTTAACTATCAGTACATATGATTTACAGGGTAAAAGGATGAACTCTTGTGATTATGTTTTAATCCTTCTTGTGCTGCTGTAACAGAATGTAACAATATAGCACCAACTGGGTAATTTATAATGAACACATATTTATTTGGCTCATGGCTCTGGTGGCTGGGAAATCCAAGATGGAGGGGTTCTGTATCTGATGAGTGCCTTCTTGCTTCATTATCTGTGGTACAAAGGCCAAGAGAGGGTGAAGAGGAGCAAGAGTTTGAATTCACATCCTCAAGCTCTTTTATGAGTATGAGTCAATTTTTGAGCCTCCTGACCTAGCCCATACCCCTGGGCCCCACCTCCCAGCACTGTTGCAATGAGATTTAAGTTTCCAACACCTGTGTCTTGGGAGACATCTTCAAATCAGAGAGATTACAAAGAAAATGTCAGTTTTGGGTAAAACTTGTCATTGGAGAAAGTAATTTGGGATCAAAAAGACATTTAACCTTTCCACTCTCAGCACTCTGTTTGTACATACACAGGTGTGCACAACACACACACACACACGCACAACACACACACACACCCACACACAGTTTGTTTACTTATGCCATGGACTTGATCCCTGTGTCTTCATCGTCTTCTCCTTTCCCTCCTTCTCTTTCACCTTCTTTCTAATCTTCAACATCTATGGGTTGGAATGTGCACATTGGATGAAGTACTTATGGGGATTAGGAAGCTTGCATACTTCCTTCTGTCCATCACAGGTCTGGTCAAACATTCTCTTGGGCATTTAATACTGATTATATAAATAGTGAAATATTGTTTAAGAATATTTGACCTACTTTACAATGCTGCAGATCAAGTAACCTACAGGTGATTCAGAAGCTTCAGTTTCCTTGCTGTTTAGCACTGCCCCCTTCCCCAGTGCCCTGTAGATCAATGCATTTGTTTCTTTTTGTGTTTGAAAAGTATTTAAATAATTTCATATATATAAATGACTAAATCCTTTACTTCCATGTGACTCATATCAAAGTTCAATAAACTTTTTGGTACTGGGGATTGAACACAGAGGTGTTAGCATACATCCCCAGCCCTTTTTATTTTTTATTTTGAGATAGGGCCTCACTAAGTTGCTGGGGATGGCTTCAAACGTGGCAATCCTCATGCTTCAACCTCCTGAGTCACTCAGGTGTGTACCACTGCGCCTGGTTCAATAAATTCTTTCTGTGAATGATACTCAGATTCTTTAAAAACATAGGTTAAGATTTGAAGAGCTTAGAATCACTTGGTGAATACTTTGGAGAGGAGGTAGCTTTGCTATGATTTTTGTGAGTTAATGCCTAATAATTTTTGAAAGTAACATCTCAAAGTGAAAATCCTCAATTTTTAATAACTGTAAATGGTACATAAACCACCTGATTCTAATTAAATTGTTAATGTCATATGCCATGAGGTAGTAATCTCTTGTTAATTATAGTAATAGTAAATGTAAATAATATGAGTAGATAATTAGGTTTTAGTTTGTTAATTTGGGACTATGTTAGTGGATAATACTTATAGCTAAAGGCAACCGAACCCTTGGAGTCCACGAAAAGAAACCTGCCATCATTGAAACACACACACCAACCCCTATGACTTTGGTTGCTGATGCCTCTCGAATCTCTATCTAGTCCAAGTTGGCCATGTTTATGTTCCTGCCTGCTGAGGTCCATTTCAGTGTCTCATGGACATGTTAAAAAAAATGTTCAAAATTAAAATCCTTATTTCTAGGCCCTAACTTATTCCTGAATGTCTGTTTCACGGAGCGAAACCACTAGTCTCCTTGTTGCCCAAACCAAAAAACATGAGCCACTCTGGCTTCCTTTCCTTCCATCCAGACATCTTATCAACTACTAAATCAACCCTGTTCTACCTAATAAACGAGTTCTCAAGTCTGTCTGATTTCCTGTTCCTCCTGCCACGAGTCTAGGTCATCTTTATTTCTCTTCTGGAGGACTGAAGTCATCTTCTACTTCATTTCTTGTCTCTCTCTTTTCCTCCTTTTCATCTTGCAGCTACACTGCTTGTTTTGTTTCTTAAGCTATCCTTGGTTGCGATAGTTTTTGAATTCTTGATTCCTGCAGCATATCACCTTTGTATGATCTGTTGTGTATATACTTTAAAATATTTCTTTAATTGTGGATGGACACAATACCTTTATTTTATTTATTTACTTTTATGTGGGGCTGAGGATCGAACCCAGTGCCTCATATGTGTGAGGCAAGTACTCTGCCACTGAGCCACAACCCCAGCCCCTGATCAGTCCATCCAGAATTCCACCCCCCCCCTCCCCTCAACTGTTCCATGCTTTCTCTCATCTTGAGACTTTTGTACAAACTATGCCCTGAGTTTTTACCTCTAGGATCTTCAGCTGCTCCCCGCCTTCCCCTGCCACGCATGGTTGTTCTTTCCCATCCTGAAGGTTTCAGCTTTACGCGGTCATTTCTGTTAAGGAGGAAACATTCCCTCAGTGGTGACCCACCCATGAAAAAGGCCGCATCTAGGAGCCTTTCTCTTCTGCCTTTCTCAGTCTTCCTCTGTTTTATTTTTTGCCATAAGCTTCTTGTGTTGGATTGTAATTATTTACTTAATTTCAGGTCATCCTGATAGTTTCTGCTTCAGTAATTGCACGTCATATTTTACTTGTTAGCTAATGTATAACGCTTGGTGCCTCCCGCAGAGTAGGCACTAAGTAAATATTTGTTGAATGATTGAATGAGTAAAATCATAAAAATATCCAGGAATGTCATTGTTTTTCATGCCTTTGCTCTGCTGTTTATCCCATTCCCCCCACATGCATTCTGGGTAGAAGTGATAAACTAGAACTTATTTACATGACTCGTAATATATGTAGGTGTAACTTGGGATGCATATTTATTTTAGTCTATTATTATGTATTTCAGGCTGGCTTATTTATTGACAAGGGTGTCAAAACAACCAACTCCAGTGCCGCTGACCCGAGGGAATACCTCTGTTTGGATAACAGTGCAAGGTAGAGCTGGCTCTTTTAACTCACACTCAAGCCTTATCTTGCCAAAGCAGAACTTTCTGAGTGGAGCACATTGTGCTCTTTTCTCTGGCAACACATTTGGGATAACATTTTGAAAGTTTACAGAGGGTTTTGGAAAAACACTTCTCTGCTGTCCCAGGTCCTGAGTGTGGACATTTATCTTACGGAAATGCCAACAAATTGGTGCTTTTCTTCTTTTTCATTGTGATAAATTGATGTTAGAGCGAGTTACAGAAAGAGAAAGAAGAAAGAGATGTTGAAAAGTTCTCATATTTGGAGAAAAGTGTGACTCATTGAAAAACAAGTTAAACTAAGATGTTTCACTTTAATCCTGAAAAACCAAAACATATAGAGTTTATGTTTAGTGGTCAAAATGGAACATTGCATTGAATCGATTTCAAAGGGAAAGATCCCTGATTTGATGATCAAGCTGATTCTGGTTCAGTTGTTTGTGGCCTCAGATCCACATCCTAGCCGGGCTCTGTGTTGTTTCCTACATAACCACAGAATGTGGTTGGGATATGGATCAGCATTTCAGCAGAGTTCTGTTACAACCTGTATGTGAGCCAAAATAAATAAAGGGTCTCAGATGGACATAAAGTTTTCTGGGAAAGATGGCAACTTACGGTCATATTTGGTAGACATGGTATAAATATTATTTTTCTATACTTCAGGTTGATTCACCAGTTTATGGAGTTGAACAGGTGCTAGATTTAATGGGCTCTTTTAATAGAAATTTAAGAGAGGAATGCCAGGCCCATTTGTTCTTAAGGGAATAAAGGAGGAACCATACTGTTGGTTAATGAATCTACGTGTGAAGCAGAATCCTTGCGATATATCACTAGGGCATGAGGTCAGGAGAAACTGGGGAAAGTAATTTGTAAATTACTCATCAGGATGCCTCATAGGTCAATTTGAGCAATGTAATATTTTAGAGCTATGATCAGATAGCATCGGAAAGCCCAGAAATGATGGGCACTATTTAAGTAAAACACAAGATACTGTATAGTTCATAGTTAATCGACACATGAAATGGATAGATAGGGAAGATAAAATTAATAAAAAGGAGCATAAAGATGAGAACAAATTATGAACCACCAAAAGAATATTAGCAAATGAAGAAATCTATGTTACAAGATCTCTCCTGCTTTTTAAGGGTTTATTATAATTTGTAGGACTAGTATAATTTGTAGAACTAGTAATATGTACATTGCTAACTTAGTGCCTCCAGGTAACTCTTTAAATACAGCACAGTTGGCGCCTTTCCTTCAAAAATCATTTATAAATTTAAATAATATTGCTGTGTGTGTATATATATGTGGTATATATACACATATACATATAATTAATATATGTACAAATACAAGTGTGAATAGATGAGTAAACATATTTAAGAATCCATTGATATTTTAACTAGATTTGACAATAAAATTCTACTCATTATGGCTTAAATTTTTTATCAGAGATTTGTTTATGGTGTTATGAAAATGATAATCTTTCTTCTGCATCCCATTATTTCTCTTACCAGTATGTAAGTGCTATACAGATTGGTAAGGAACTGGACTCCATTTGGATGAACTTAGTATAGAAGATGAGTTATGAGACATTTGGCAGCTGTGTTCCATACGTTTAACTTTGCAGAGACTAATGTATAGAATGTGTCCACCTGTATTCATATAATCCAGACATGACGAAAAATGCTAAAACATAAATGAGTAGTAGACTAGTCTACAAATTAAATGCCAGGCTCTTGGGATACAGAAGATACTGAGTTCATCAAAGAGGAAGTTGACTCACAATTAATCAGATGAGCCTTTCCTTGTCTTTAAGATGTGTGTGAACTTACAAGAATCCAAAAATGGGAAATTTTAACTCATGGAAGCACTTGATTTGAAATTGAGAAATGCCATCTAAAAAATGACAGAACATTAGAACCACCCAGTACAGTTAAAGCAGAGGACAGTTAAGGCTGGAAGTGTGCTGAATCACATAGATGATGATGAAAAATCAGGACAGTTAGCCATATTTTCTATATACCACATGGGGAAAGAAGATTAAAATAAAGGATATTGAAGCAAGTGGTTAATGACTGAATTATATGGATAGAGAGTTTAGAAGAGGTAAGATGGCTAGAGCAGAAAATCAGATGTTTCTTTATGGTAGTTTTTTTTTTTTTTTGAATAGTTTCTACCTTGTAAAGACAGCTTCCTTTGTAGAACTCGTCTATCTGCTTAATGTTGTGTCATATCTGCACAGCTATTTGCAGCAAGTATGATGACAGATGAGTACATGTTGACTCAGAGTCAGACTTTTTACCACTTAAGTCAGAGCTAGTTAGGGTAAAGGCCCTGAGTCACATAATTGGATTGAATGCCCTGTCTGCACTGCTACCACCCTAGTCTGAACCTCCAGCATCTGCCTGAAATACAGCCTCCAGAATGGCCTTGGAGGCCATTCATTTCCTAAATAGCAGCCTGTAATCTGCTGAAACCTGATACCTCACTCCCAATTCCAAGCTTCCATTGGTCCCATTGCACCTTGAATGAAGACCCACATGCTCATCTGGCAGGAGCCTGCCCTCCAGCCCATCTTCCTTGCTTGCTCTCCAGCCAATGGGCTTGGAGTGGATGCTTGGAGTGGAGTGCTGAGCTCATGTGTGCCCAGGGGCATGTGTACTTGCTTCTCTTTCTACAGAGCTGTTTCTCACATCATGCAGTTTGAGAGCACCTACTATATGCCAGTCAGTGTGACAGTAGCATTATGCCAAAGCTATTTCCTGACTGTATGTTTGAGAATCTCAACCTGCTGAGCTGATTTTTGAAAAGCTGTCTGTTTTTTAAAAGTTCTTCCCCTAACTTTGTGAAGTAGTAGACTTAGGGGATTATTTGTTTGAGTCATTATAGTGGTTAGTTTTTGACACCAAGTCTTTGACTTTTTCATTAAGGTTCTCACAAATGGTTTAGAGAGAAGGAAGAGAAAAGGCAAAATTCAGGCTTTATAAGTAAATCAATTAAATACAATCTATTTTAGATTTAGACTACTAAACCCAGTTTTATTTCTACATCTGAAACATTTAACAAGTACACAATTCAAATAATTCAATTCACATATATGTATGTTGAAATATACGATTACTTTATGTGATTAGTTTACATCAGTAACAGGAAACCTAAGAGTCTGTGAAAACATGCTAATTTTCCTGGTTTAAGTGTATATGTGGGTGTGTGGGTGTGTGTGTATTTGTTTTTAATGAAAATGATTTTTGTGTTTATAGTGTTCTGCAGTGTCCATTCTGTAATCTGACTTAAAAAAAAAATAAGAAGCTAAGAAGCAGTTCTGTGGGAAGTTGTATGTAAATGAATGTTACTTTTTTTCTTTGACATTTGAAATGTGAATTATTGTGTCTTAAGATGTTTGTTTTGGCCAAATTTAAATCCTGCTTCTTGATACTTCAGCTTATGACTATAAACAGCTAATTTTTATTCCTTTTTATTTATTTATTTTTTATAAAATTGCCCTCTGTTTAAACCCTCAGGTTTCGACCTCATCAGGATGCAGACCCTGAAAAGCCACGAGTTGCTGCTGTCATCGACAGACTTATTGCTTTTAAAAACAATGATTATGGAGCATGGGTGCGAGGAGGGGATATTATCGTTCAGAATTCAGCGTGGGTATTCTCAACCATGTTATTATCTGATGACACGTATATATTTGTTTTTAAGGTTTTTTTTTTAAAACCAATAGGATGAAAGTATGGTGGTGATTCCTGGAATCACATTGTTATTATTATTTTTATTAATAAGACAAGCTCTAAAGAAGTATGCTAGAGTTAACAGACTGCAAATATTTGGAATCGTCTCATTCTTGTGCTTTTATTGGAACTGAACTTGTCTGGTGACATGAGAGCTTTGCAATGAGATTGAACAGAAGCTTAGGATCTAACTTTATGTACTAACGTGGTTTATGTCAGAGCACTACTACATATTTGAAACTACCTGTATTTTTTTTTCCCCCTTCTTGGAAAGTCCTGAAAGTTTTTCTGATTTTTTTTTTTTTTTTCTCCATTGCCATTCAAAGCAAAGCTGTATAATTCCACCTTACTGAGTCTGTTGACTTATTTCTTACCATGACTTGAAGCAGGAAGTTTCTCACTTCTTTTTTTCTACTTGTTTAAAGAGAGGCCTGATGCAGGTTGAGCTAAAGGTTTGGTAATGCAGGTTGAGCTAAAGGTTTGGTGTTCAACCATCTGGAAAGAAGATTTTGATTTTTTTTTTTTTTTCTGGCACTGACCATTAGCTTCTTGGCATTTCACCATCATTTCTGACTTTTATCACCAAGGGGAGAAAATTGATATTATACTGAATCTGTAGAAATGACTTAGGCAACACATATTATACATTTTTGAAAAGAATACTATGATCTAATTATTTCCAAACAATAATTCTAAAAATAATAATTTTAGCTTGCACATGCTGCTTACTGTGTGTCAGACCCTATTCCAAATACTTGAAGTTATTTAGTATATTTAATGCTTCAAGGATTCTCTGAGGCCTGGCATGGTGGCTCCTAAATGTGATCCCAGCAGCTCCGGAAGCTGAGGCAAGAAAATGGCAAGTTTAAAGCCAGCCTCAGCAATTTAGCAAGGCCCTAAGCAACTTGGCAAGACCCCATCACAAAACATAAAAAGAGCTAGGAACGTAGCTCGGTGGTTAAGTGCCCCTGGGTTCAATTCCCAGTACATGAAGAAAGAGAATTCTCTAAGGGTGGTTATATTATTTATTTCAGCTTATAGATGAGAAAATCAAGGGAGAAAGAGGTCAAATAACTTGCCCAAGGTCACACAGCTAATAATTGGCAAAGCCAGGATTTGAACCAGGTGCCACCACTTTACAGTTTGTGCTTCACTGTGCATTTCAGCTTCTGTGTGGTTGGAGAGAGTAAACATGGGGACTTCCTGGATTTCACAATTATGTATTAGAGAATTCTCTCTTATGCGGTAAATTAAAGTGTTCTGTCATCATCTGTTCTCTTACAGATTTGCAGATAATGGAATAGGACTAACCTTTGCCAGGTTTGTTATTGCTTAAAAATGCTTACTTGATTATTATAAAGCCAGGTAAAATTACCCTAGATTTTTTTCCAGGGATGGGAGGCGGGTGGAGAATAGAGTAGATAACGCACAGGAATGTTTTATTATTCATGAACATTAAAAAAAAAAAAAAAAAAGTTAGCACCCTCTTTCTGGTACCACTAGAGGGCCAAAAATACATTTTTATTGACTAATTGAATTCATACCAAAGCAGTAGGTTAATCTGGCTGGAATTCCGCAGAGGAACAAGCCAGTCATAATTTTTGCTTAGAAGAAAGCATTTGAGATTTAGACTGCAGTTTTTTTAAAAAAAATAGGCTTTGAAAGAGAAAGAGAAATAGGAGGTTAAAAAAATATTTTTCTTTTAGAAGCTGCTTTAATTTAGCATTAAGAACTAAACTTTTTGTGTTAATATTTTTCTCCGGATGGTAATCATTGTTGTCCCCATGTTATTATCTCATTTGCAGTGCTGTTGCTTGAGACCAATCAGTTGTGGCTATTAAATTAAATTTCCTTTGTTTCTGTGTAAATTGCAAGGCACTTAATAATTTATAAGAGGTATTTTCACAGTTTAAAGTCAGTTCCTGGTGATTCGATAATCATTGAATTGAAAGTATAATAGAAAAAGGTATTGGCTTTGAAGTTTTTGTTTTTTTTTTAAGCTATTTAAGTTATAGTTTGCATTCTTGTGAGGTAAACTTGAATTTTTTGAAGGAGTGGAGCTGATGACTGTCTTCATTTTAACAGCGATGGAAGCTTCCCAAGTGATGAAGGTTCCAGCCAGGAGGTATCTGAATCCCTCTTTGTTGGGGAGAGCAGGAATTACGGTTTTCAGGGTGGTCAGAACAAGTACTTTGGCATTGGAGGAATAGACCAGAAGCCTCGGACATTACCTCGGAATAGGTAAACATTGCTTTGGTAATAGAGATTTTTAATTTAAGCAATAGAAGGAAAATGTAACACTGAAAAATTTTCTGTAATAATTCTGGATAGATTGGTTCCTACTGTAACTTCCTATCTTACTGTTGCTCCTGTTATTATCATTGTGTGTATTATCCTCATTAAATTTCATGCATTAACTATTAGTCATTTCATAGATTCTATCATTGATTTTATAACAAGGAAGTCTACCTTGTTTCTTAATTCTTACATAAGACCTTATGTAAGCTGGTGTTTTTTCTTTATTTTTCTTTTTACTTTCTTGAGACATAAAAAGTTGCCAAACCATAAACTATGACATTAGGTCAGTTTTCCCTCGGTTTGTGATGTTGGTTTTCAGAAATAGCCACTGGAAAAAGGAAATTACCTCTTGAAAACGAGTCCTAGAAAATAGGAGATGGTTGATGCCAAAATTGACTCAAAACCCCACCACGACTGTATAATTCACAGTGTTTGAGGTGTTAGGGGAGGGGCAGACTTTTGGCTTGTTTTCTGTCAGCATGATCAGAGCCATTAAAATAGTACTTAGCACTAGAAAGATTCTTCAAAGCTTTTAGAAAACTGTTAACTAATTAATCTCTACTTCAGTTCTGTGAGTCTGTTTGGAGTCGTCCTTATTTTATTTGAGAGAAAACCAGGTAGAGAAAATTCAAAGCATGTTCTAAAGACCTCAAATGTAAGTTTATGCCATATTCATCAAGAATCAGCTCCTTAAAGGAGTGCGCTCTCTGGATATTGGGTCAGAGGTAGGAGAATTGGGCAAACAGACTCTCAACTTTACTAGTTTCTGGCAAAGGGTGGCCTGTGTTTGGCTTCTCTGCCCTTGTGCCTGGCTTCCTGAGACTCTGTTTTATTGTGGTGGTGCTGGGTATTGAGCCCAGGGCCTGCACATGTCACACTAATCCTCTGCCACTAAGATGTACCCCGGTGGTGCTTGTCTTTGTGGAATATTGAGCATCAGGATATGCTATAGTATGTAGAAATCCCATGGAAGCCACTGGGAAAAGAACCTAATGAATTTTTTTAATAGCTAACATAATTAGGCTGCACCTGCCTCTCCTAATAGTGTAGATGGAAAAAAAAAAAAAAAAAAAAGGAGCCACATTGGTTGGGGAATGGGCTGCAGTATCATGGTGGGTGATTTGATTTCATTTTTTTTTTATTGGACATTGTCCTCCAGTTTGATTTCAAATTTGTTTTTGTTTGCCCAGGAAGATTTTCAAAACAAATTTCACATTGATGAATGGATTATTTTTGTTGTACTGATATTTATAATATTTTCTATGAGGGAGAACCATTTTGAGTTATGTGCTTAGAAACATAGCACGATGCACAGGTTTTCACACAGAATACTGGGTTTTCTTGTTAGGGTGTATGCTTTTGTTGTAGCATATCGCCAAGTTGTAATTAGTTACTGTAGAAATCTTTGCAGTGTGATTAAAGAATTCAATAGGAAATTAAACCTAAGGAATTGAGAATATTATAGGATTTGTACATTAATTCTGGCTAAAGATTTATGATTAGTAGGCTAAGGAGAAAGGAAGGATATGAAAACAAAGAAGTTCTCAATCTAGCCAGCCCTTTGACATAGCAAGCCCTGAGGACTTAAGCTTTTTACTTTTATTTATATCATTTCACCCTTTTACTGTCATTTAGTGGCTTCAGAGGAGGTTTTTTGGTGCTGGGGATCTAACCCAGAGCCTTACGCACTCTAGGCAAGTGCTCCATAAATGAGCTTCACCCCCAGCCCTCAATAAATCATCTTAACTGAGTTGATGCAAGGAATCCAAAGTCACTTCTATAACGAGACCTCTGTTCTATCCAAAAGGAGCCTATCTTCCCTCAGTCTATTGTGTTTATGTCTTTTTGTCTCTATTGCACTCAGTATCTGAAATTTTCACTTGTTTTTTTTTTGTTTATCGTTCCCACTGCAATATATATATATATATATTTTATTCCAGGAGGGACTTGTTTTGGTACCCTGGAATTGTGCTTAGCACTTACAGGATATTTAGCAGTTTGTATAACACAAATAAGTGCTGGTCAAGAGGCAGGCCTATCTGCATAAAACAAAATCTTGTATTTTAACAGGACATTCCCAATTAGAGGCTTTCAGATTTATGACGGGCCCATTCATCTCACCAGGAGTACTTTTAAAAAATATGTGCCAACTCCAGATAGGTACAGCAGTGCAATTGGCTTCCTCATGAAGAATACCTGGCAGATAACCCCCAGAAATAACATTTCCCTTGTGAAGTTTGGTCCACATGTAAGTACATTCTTAAGGTTCCTACACATATATTAGTGGGAAAAGAAGGGATAACAGATTCTGAAGGACAAAAACACAAAGGGTTTATACTAAATCTTAATGTTGGGGAAGAAGAATACGTGCAACTCCTAATCCCATTCACTCTTTCCCACTGAGTTCAAGGCAAGAACAGAAGTCCCAGGTGACTTGGGGTATCTCTGACATTCAAGTGATAATCTTGATTAGGTAAATGACTTAAAGTGATGACATAGGGGGCATGTCACAGGAACATGAGGACTTATGATTTTGGGAAATTGAGTATAATAAGCTAGTACTATAGCCCCATCTCCACTAGGAGGATTTGGGACCTATCTGGTATTTTACTTATATGGAGCTGTTTTTCTGGGTAACTGGAAGATAAAAAATTGGGGACACAAAGGAATGCTGGGAAGTGTGATCAACATCGTGTTCTGTTATAAACTGTTGGGTGGATTTTATAAAAATTGCAAAGAAGATAGACTTCCATTGTTTACAGTGTAGTAGCCCATAGAAGTGAATTTCTTAGCAGTTTCACCATTTCCCTGTTGTCCGTAATACACATGACAGTCTGATTATGGACTCGCAGGACTTCGCCATCTTGCCAGGTCCACGGTGGTGGTGACATAAGCCAAAACTGGAGAATAGCTCAAAGTTCTCAGTTCTGTCACTCATGTCACAAACTTTATGGTTGACCACTTTAAAATAAAGCACAAAATAGGTTTATCAGTCTCTATCTAGTTTTCTAAAACAGCTAGGGCATAGAACTGAGGTAGGGGCAAAAATTAGGTTCTTGGCTTAATTGGTTGATTTTCTTTTTGGTGCCGTGACCCCAGGTTAAGAGGTGGGCCATACTAAGAGATGTTTTCCCATATAAAATAAGTAGGAAGATTTTTTTCTTCTTCTTCTTCAGTGCTAGGGATTGACTCCTGGGCCTTGCTAGTCAAGTGTTCTTCCATTGAGCTACATCCCCATCCCTTTATGGTGAACCTTAGAGCACCTCTCCTGTGTGAAGGTTGGCTGTTTGCTTACTCCCATGTGGACTTCCCCATAGTCCTCCTTGCATAGAGTTCAGTGACCACTGATGTGGTCACATTGAAAAGCAGTTTTTGAAATGTTGCATTTATTGTGAGAGTCGTAATGTTAAATTATAACAGCATAAGAGCATGCATGTTGGTTAAGTTCAGAGGTTCATCCTGCTTGGAGTTTTCTGTGGTGGTGATACTCTGGGAATAGTTTCTAAAAGAAACAGTTTGCAAAATTTGTTCTGCATAAATAGGTAGAAAATGTACTATGAGCTTTTCTCAAATTTAACCATAGGAGGCACAAAGGAAAAAGAAAACTGTAAAACTTAAGAATCTGGACCTACTTGACTACAAACTTCACTGTTTTCCAATGAGTAGCTTTATCTAAATGATAAATATCCTTGGGTGATGTAAGAATAAAGAAATGTTAGAGGAAATCAGTAATTTTCCACAAATAAGAAGCAGCTATAAACTGTCATCTTCAATCTGCTTTGCAGGTCACTTGTACATGTTTAGTAAAGGCTTTAAATTAACCACCCGATATAAAAATTACTGAGCTGGGCATGGTCAGGTTGAGGAGAGAGAGACAGCAGTCTACACATTTCAGCAGATTTCAGTGAGTTCAGTAGTAACCCAGATATACTAATCTATGGCTTACATGATATATCAGTTTTGAACTATACTTATTTTTTGGTGGGGAGGGTCATATGAATAAGTAGCTAAAGCTTTTGGGGTGAAATACATTAACTAGCTCTAAAGATATACTTTAATAGGTCTTTAGTTAATTGAGGTATAATTTGCATGCAGGGAAATACATAGGTCTTATGTGTGGAATTTATAATTTTTGGCAACTCTCTATATATACAACTTCATAGTTCTTTTTCTCTCAACTCTGTTCGTTTCCCTTACCATAATTAGTTTTGTCAGAGCAGGTTAATAGTTTTCAGTGGGGGGAAAAAAGGGAATAAAAAGATGAGATTCAATATTTGCCAATTGACCTTTGTAAGGCTTTAGACATTTTTCCCCCAAGCAGGCTATTAATTAAGTAGAAAACTCTGATTGACTGGGTGCCATAGTTACCAACAATGAACCCTAACTCCAAACTGTTTTCACTTTAAAGCAGTTGTGTGATGGGCAGGCACTTGGGTCATCGAAGACTGATGCCAAGATGGCAGGAGCCCTTATTTTGTGATGTCCTTGGTTTTCACTGCCATCAGGTCTCTCTGAATGTCTTCTTTGGAAAACCTGGGCCCTGGTTTGAAGATTGTGAGCTGGATGGGGACAAGAACTCCATATTCCATGACATTGATGGCTCTGTGACAGGGTACAAGGATACTTATGTGGGACGAATGGACAACTACCTGATCCGCCATCCAAGCTGTGTCAACGTGACTGAGTGGAATGCAGTGGTTTGCAGTGGGACCTATGCCCAGGTAGGCCCAGAAGGCAGTTGGATGCTGAGTCCTCAAGCTTCTCATAGCGCTGCCTCTGTGAGGAGGTCACTTCAGCTTCTTGGTGTGATTGGTGCTTTGCCAAGAGTGATTTTTTTCAGGGGTTGGGGGAGTGAGTTTTACTGAAAGCCACCTCAGTTTAGCAAATGAAAAAGTGATTTGTAGTGGGACAAAATGATTCACCCTTGTTGAAATAGGTTTGAAATATTGCTGTGGAGAGAACGCTTGTGTTTTGGCTCTTAGGTTTCTCGCCCTGTTCCAGCCCTGTCCCCTTAGAGGAAGTTTTATCCTTTGCTTTCAGGGACATATTTCTTTACTTAATTAGGGAATCTGACTAAAGTGGGAAGTTCCTCTCTGGGAGGTGACCCTGATGACAGACACGTGAATACAAGGAAAACATTTAGTGTGTGGAATGGCACAGGAAAGTCAGGGCTCTAAGTTGCAAAGGTAATTTTGACAGTGAGATTTGAATGGAAGAGATTATAGAACGGAGGCACCAACAGCCCAGAATTTTGAAGGAAGCAGACCCCCCTTGCCCCCACTCTATTCTAGACAATGAGAGGTTAGGATTTAATAATAGACTGTCAGGGGAGATAAAAGAATAAAGGAAAGGGGATGATTAGAACATAGGGAAATTAAAGGAAGAGCAAAGATCCTTTAAGTGGAATTCGGGCTCTGAAAGCCCCCAAGGCCGGGAAGAAGCCCTCCTGCCCCTCCATTTTTTTGGAAGATGCTCTTATTCCGTCGTCTGGACTCTTCCTGTGAAGGGACCAGTTTTGTGATCTTTCCCCACCGCCAGCCTCTGCTTGCTTTGCCTGTTAAGCGTGCATTCGTGGACTCTGCCCGTCCCTTCTCTGAGCAGCCAGAGCTTACTGTATTTCTACCACTCAAGCTTCTGTAGTTGGAGCGTCTTATAGTGGAATTGCTCACCACTCTTCTGACTTTGAATCATGACTGTTAAAATATGTGACTTTTACATTTAAAAACTTAAAAAACAATTTTTGGATTCTGATCTATCAACAAGGACAAAGGGCTTGAATGTGTTAAAGATTCAACACTGCTTCTCATTTATTTTAATGTGTTATTAGCTTCTGTGTTATGGCATTTCTCATTACCATGAAGAAAAAAAAAAAAAAAACAGAAACAAAGTAATATAGGACAAGGAGAGAATGGAGAATTAACTGCAGTATAATACTGAGAAGAATGTGGTTTGAAAATATGATTTCTTTTTTTTTTTTCTCTCATTTTATTCTTAATCAGAATTTCCTTTGCTTCAAATTGTTTGCCCATCTGTACTTAGGAATCTATGGCCATTCTAGAATTAAAACTAAAGCAAAAGCCAAAAATAAAAAGCCCTCAGTCTTTTAATAGCTACAGTTTTCATTAAATTTTTTTTGTCAACCATGTGTATTCACGTGTGGGTATCTGTCAGCTCTCTTAAAGTGGTAGATGCTCACTGATGAAAATTATTATGAATTTATAAAGTACATGGTTATGATAACTCATACTTTTTTATAAATTAATTTTAATAATAAATGTTATGTATTTTTTCATTTATATTTCAATATTTACTCATAAATTATTTATCCCTTTGGGTTTTTAACATTATTTGAGGTAGGAACTTAATCTTTCTGTCTTAACAAAGCAGAAGAGTAGTTCCATTTGTACTTGTAGATGCAGGAAAAAATAAGTCATCAGGGACCTCCCAGGAGACTCTGGGAATGGTAGAACTGCAGGTCAGGAGTTCTCGCCTGAGAATTTGTAATTTGGGCTGGAAGTTCTCATCTGTAACCATTTGCTCTTGCTTAGAAATAATGTAGCAAACATTTGTAGGCAAAAGACAGTAGCATCTGAATCCCAACATAGAATAGTTATTTTATAGCTGTATGTAAACATTTTTAAATGGCATATGAGCTCCTTGCGTACGTGAGGGATAAAGACACTCAGGAAGAAAGGTGGTAACAGAGAATTAAGGTCACTTTTGCCACCTCCAGTCATCCTTGGGCAGGAGGTGGGGGATGTACATGTCTGCCTGCCCACCTCCCCCAAATTAAATATATGTCAAATATAAATAAAAGATTTAAGAAAATAATATATATTAAAGTCTATATTACATGGGTATTTAAATGAAAACAATCAGAAATATTAAAAGTATGTTTTCTATCTATTTTTAAGTCTCTAAGTGGTGTCAGTACAGAAGAGTATTAAAGTAGTCAGACATGAACAAAAGAACATATATGTAATTAAGTCATTATAGACAAGATTGTAAGAAATGGCAGAAAAAATATGGAAGTATTCTTCATAAAGCATCAATATTCACCAAACGTTTTAATAATTCTGGAGAATTTAGTTACTGGATACTGCTTTGTTTTAGGAAATTGTTCTGAGGTTTGTCCTTTGGAAGATGCATTTGTGGAAGGTTCTGTTTTGGCATGAAGAGTGGCTCGAATGCCACTGGAATAAATTCAAGATTTTCAAATTTGTCTCAGCTTAATGTTTTTCCAGTTGCTGCAGAGTACTTTATAATTCTTTTTTTTTTTTTTTTTTTTTTGAATGGGTGAAAAATGACTTCTTGGGCTAATGTAGGTCATGGAAAATTGAAAGCCAAAGCCCCAAGATATATAAATTTTCCATCTCTTGGTTTGGAGGAAAATCTCTTAGATTTGAGTAGAGGGTATCAGTTTTCACATTAGTTTACTAATTTTTTTGCCCATGTGTTCTTCAGATTGAGGGATTTCATGACAGGCTGAATAAGCCACAGGAGTTTTATATTCTGATGAATAAGCTGGCCTGCAGTGGTGGAACTGATGATGAAGATCTTGGCTAGCAAGAACGCAGGGTCTGTTCTGACCACATCTAGTTTAAGCAGGCTGCATTGTTAAGTGTGGCTTAGGATGTAGTTGGCCACTGCTCATGTAGTCTGGCACAGATCACAGAATCTCTCTTTTTAACGTAGAGACACTCGACTTTGTGCTAGAAAGATTTGTTTAGTTATTTCAATTTTCATCATCTTTCATTCAGTTCTTATTTGTTCTTTCAAGGTCTATGTACAGACATGGAACACACAGAATCTTAGTATGACCATCACACGAGATGAGTATCCATCCCACCCCATGGTACTCCGGGGGATTAACCAGAGGGCTGCCTTTCCGCAGTACCAGCCTGTGATCATGCTGGAGAAGGGCTATACCATCCATTGGAATGGGCCAGCACCACGGACTACTTTTCTATACCTCGTAAACTTCAACAAGTATGTTTCTATTACTGTCATTTCAAACAGTTGGGCAAGTACTGACTTAGGAAGGAAATATGTTATTGTTTTATTCACTATCAAGAATGCCTGTTTCATGTACTTTGTTCCTGTTCTGGAGAGGCTGTATGTTTTGTGTTGATGGAGTAAAGAGATTATTTATATAAATTGGGTCCTGTTATTTTGAAAACGTTTCTTTTTTTCTGAGACCCATGTATTGTGTACATAAAGCTATTTAGCAATAAGTTTTAATGGTAGGCTGCTGAACTTAAGTCCCTGTAGCTGAAGTTGGAAGAAGTTTTATATGATTTTCCAAATGGGCACTGGTAAAATTAAAAGATTTTTGATGCCAAGTTTAGACTTGACAGAAGAAAGTGGGTTTGATTGGTAATATCTGCTGTGGGAAGTGGGGGGAGTTGGGGTTTAAATGCCCTGACTTAAAGCATGATTTTTGTCCCTTCTCAGTTGTTTGTCCCAATGATATCAAACTCAATCCAAGTTGATATGTTTACATTAATTTACGCAAGTGTGTCAGTTGATAAAAAGAAAAATGAACTCATACTAGATGTGCAGAAGAAAAAAAACCTGAATGAATAGATAAATTCAAACTCTTTTTTCCCTGTAGTGGGTAGAGGATATGGCCACTAAATCTGCCTTAGGGAGTGGGGCCAGGCTGCAGTCAGAAAGTGATACTTTGGTCAGTCTTGTTACAAAATCAGAGTTGGGACAGGGCCTACTCTACCTGGGGAATGATGGATTTGGTGAGATGGGAACATAGGGTGTCAGGAAAAGTGACCCAAAGTGAAGTCAGATAGAAGAAAGGGGACTACAGTTGTCCTTCTGTGTCCTTGGGGAACTGGTTTCTAGGACCACCCACCCACCCATGAGTACTAAAATCTGTGGATGCTCAATGCCTGTTATACCGTCCTATATATTTTAAACCACTTCTGGATTACTTATAAAACCTAATATGATATAAATGCTATGCAAATAATTATATATAGTTTAAGGAACAATAATAAGAAAAGAGTGTGTTTTCACCAAAGCTGCAATTTTTTATTTTGGTGAATTGGGGTTCATTGGTTGAATCCTGTGAATGTCGACTCTGCAGATAAGGAGGGCCCACTGTATTTTGAAGGGCAGGAGCAAAGCCATCTAGATCTGTAAAACTGTTAACCTGTGGGGTTCTATGAAGCTGCTCAGATATGTGCCTAGAAAATTGCCATGGCTCATTCACCTGACTGGTCATAAAGCTCTGACTCATGGGACTCTCTTTGAACACCCAGTTGAAGTAAACAGAGAGGAATAGAACTTACAGTTGAGCTATAAATAGGTCACTTCCAAGAACGGGTGCTTATCATGGTGGGTGCCCTTGCTCTGAAATAGTTAGGCAGATGGCACGTGCTCTACACTGAACCATTGCTTCTCTCTAGCACTTCTCTAAAACTTCCCATACTCATTCCTCACTCTGCCTTTTCCCTCTTCATCCCTGTTGGTTCTGGCTCCTGATGTCACTCAGATCTCTACTGCTTTCTACTCCCACAGATTATGACTGAATTCAGGCCATCATCAATCCCCCCGCCTTTTTTGGGGGGAGGTGGGTACTGGGGATTGAACTGAGGGGCACTCAACCACTGAGCCACATCCCCAGCCCTATTTTGTATTTTATTTAGAGATAGGGTCTTACTGAGTTACTTAGCATCTCACTTTTTGCTGAGGCTGGCTTTGAACTCACGATCCTTCTGCCTTAGCCTCCTGAGCCTCTGGGATAACAGACATGCCCCAGTATGCCCGGCTTTCATCATCATCTCTTTCTTGGAACCCTGCAGCAGCCTCTTACTAAGTCTCCCTATGTCCGATGCTTAGTTCACATTGTGTTCAAGGAGAGATTTTTTTTTTTTTATTTGTAAATTAAGCTTATTTCAAAACTGATACAGGAAAGCATAAGCATTACACATATTTATGGGTTACCACATGATCTGATACATGTATGCATAGCATATTTAAGTCAAGTTTTACATATCTATCTTCTCAAGTGTTTATTATTTCTTTATGGAGGAAATACTGTTTTCCAGGGTGAGATTTCTTAAAGTCCAATCTGAGACTGTCAGTGTGTTCCAGAGAATTCAATAAAAGAAACAAATAATAGGGAGGATTGGGAAGAAATGTCAGCGAGTGATCGGTATTCTAAAAAGTTACATGGAGCAGGATTATGCACTTGAGGTGAAATGTTAGAATCAAATGATGCAGGGCTGGGGATGTGGCTCAGTGGTAGGGCTCTTGCCTAGCAAGCAGAGGATTCTGGGTTCAATCCTCAGTACTGGGGGGAAAATGCACAAGTTCTGTATAAAGTACTGTGCAAGGTTTTCATCGCATACTAAGCAAGTAAAAACATTTTCAAGTGAAAAAAGGCTGAACCTAAAAGTTTCAAAAATCCACATGGGCCTAAAAGTTAGTCATGCTTTTCTAGTTTAATTAGGTAGAAGTTATAAAAATTATGTGATGAGGAGAGGCAAGAGGAAGACGGGGGTAATTTCTTTTTCCAAATTTAATATAATTATAGAGCAGTCATAGACTTTGTCATAGTTCCACTTCTGAAAATAACACTTTTTTTTTTTTTTTTTAAGAGTTATAAAACCACTGGGCACAGTGGTGCATGCCTATAATCCCAGCAACCAAGAGGCTGAGGCAGGAGGTTTGTCATGTTTAAGACCAGCCTCAGCAATTTAAGGAGGCCCTTATCAACTTAGTGAGACCCTGTCTCAAAGAGAAAAAGAAAAGGGCTAGGGATGTGGCTCAGTGGTGAAGCACCACGAGAGTTCAATCCCCAGTGTGTACCCCCAAAAAGAGTTAGGAAGCCATACTCACTTATTTAACATAATAAAGAAAGTACAGGGAAAAAAAACATTAAAAAAAGCATGTAAACATTTATATTGTTCTCTTCTTTATCCACACTCAGATTTTCCTGCACATATGGATGTGCAGAAATTTTCTTTAACTGCCTCTTCCTGCATGAATACTTAGTGTTTCTCCTGTCCTCTGCTCGTTTGCTAGTATAAAAACCTCATGGAACATCTCTATTTGCATTTCTAATTATTCATCAGTGGGATTACTGGGTAAAACTTGTGTGACAATTTAAAGGTCTTATAACAGATTGAGAAAGTTCTTTAGAATGATGGAAAAGTTCTGGAAATGAAGAGTGGTGATGGGTGCATAGCCAGGTGAATACACCCAATGCCGCTGATCGCTACAGCTAGAAGTGGTTAAAATGGTGAACAATAAAAAGATGAAAAAAAAAAAGCAAATTATTTTAAATGACTTTTTAAAAGGATAATCAATATCTAACGACATTAAAAATACTAAGGTAATTTGGTGATACACATCAAAGGCATTAAAAAAGCAGTTCTGCCTGCCACTAGAAATTTCTTAAATGTATTTTTATCTTTTGTAATAATATTATGAATAGAAAAAGTCTTCAGAATGATTTTACCATTGTACACTTCCACCACCAGGCTGTTAGTCTTTCTGTCTCAATACACTCATACCCAATCATCTCACTTGGCTTTATTATCCATTTGGAGTATCTTGAGTATATTTATTCAATGTTTATTCACAGTCTCCCAAATCCTGTTGAAACCAGATTTTTTTTTCCTCTGTAGAATATATTCTGCAAATTTATTGGTAAGAGAAATGTGGGCAACAGATAAAAGTAGGTGATTGGTTAGTATGTCAGGGTTTGGGATTTTCATTGTTAGTGGCTCAACATACAGTGGAAATTTAAGAAGGAATAATTATAGTTAAAATTTATATGTGCCATGATTCCCAAAGGATTTTAACTCAAGTGTGAATTATTATTATTTTTTTAATTGTATCTCCTTTAAAGGAATGACTGGATTCGAGTAGGCCTCTGCTATCCATCAAACACAAGTTTTCAAGTTACCTTTGGCTTTTTACAACGACAGAGTGGCTCATTATCCAAAGTTGAAGAATATGAGCCCGTGAACTCACTGGAAGAACTGCAGAGGAAGCAGTCTGAGAGGAAATTCTATTTTGACTCCAGCACAGGGTAATTCAGTGGAACCAGGGCATGAGAATGAATGCTATTTTTCTTTAATGGTGAAATTACTAGTTCTTCATCGTAGCCAAGAATTGCCTGTGATGTGATAGCTGTTTAGGAAAGCAGCTGATGTGGGTGCTTCTCTGCACATCGTTATTAAGGGTTTAGAGGAGAACTAGAATGACTGGTTATTATAGCTGGCAGTAGGAATTGAGTGAAGATGTTTGCTATTTACATATTAAGACAATTTAGGGAGAGAAGTTATCTTTGACAATGAATAACCAGTAGACCCAACTGAAAATGAAAATCCTTTTTTCTTCAAGAAGTCCAAAGGTAGTTATTTACATGTGATAGAGTTCAGATTTCAGTGGAAGCGCATTTTTCTCTTGCTGCTGCCTTAAGGTTGTCTTTCAAGTTGACCTTGAGTTTTTGAAGGTCATTGTATAACCATAGCGTATTTGCTTTCAACTTTCTCTAGGCTGCATCTTTCCACTGTTTAATTCTAATCCTGTTCACCTGGGGTCCTGTTGGCTTTGTCTGCTTTTGTCCAGTTACAGTCTCTCAGCCTGTGGGTTATGGTAGGCTTGACCTCCTGTCTTATTCCAGCAAGTGGCATGCTCTTTCAGTCTCCATCCTTAAGCTGACATTCCAGCCATATACCATTGTCTAGGTACTGTAAAGATATTAATGTAAATAAGATGCATTTCTTTCACAAATTCACAGTCCATTGAAAGATCTGGGCATGCAAAGCAAGTAATTAAGAGAGTGAAAGATTTAAAGGCTGTAAATTCTATAATGGGATATTTAATGTGCCTTTGTGGATACTTACCCTAGAGTAACCAGAGACATCCTGATAGGGTGACACTGGACCTCCCAAGGAACAATTAGGAGATGGAAAAAGAGATGGGTGAGGTTTGCAGGCGGAAAGAACAATGTGCACAAGTGCATGGGCGCATGGAAGAATGTGGCATGGCATGTTTGGGGAAAGGCAAAAAGCTCAGAGTGGGGAGAAGGGTGGCAGGATTGATTGGGGGAAGAAAATTAGGGTTCAATTGTTGAGCGTCTCGTTGGCCTTTGAAAAAATTGCAACTCATTTTCTCTCCAGGACCTGCAGTGACCGGTGTGATCAGCCTAAGTTTTTTCTTAATAATCATCACTAATTTTCAATTTCTAATTAGAGTCAAACCATCTACCTTCATTTTTATTCTGTAGATGACAAATTCCACATTCCCAGTTGTTTTTCCACAAAAATAAATGGAGTACCCAGATTTGTAAGGATAGTCTGGTAACCACAAATTAATGATTTACCTGAATAATAAGAGGTAAATATTTTCTGGTCTGGGTATCTCAAGAATCCTTCAGCCTCTGAACAACGATTTTGTTTTAAATTCCCTTTATTTTTACAATTTTAATTATATTTCAGAAATTACATTTCAATCAGGTCCCTGACATTCTGAAATTATTGGATGGTAAGGCAGTGACTAACTTTTTAACTCTCTCTCTTTTCTTTTTTTTTTTTTTTGTAGTTGTAGATGGACAGAATGCCTTTATTTTATTTATTTTTATGTGGTGCAGAGGATCAAACCTAGTGTCTCACACATGTAGGCAGGCACTCTGCCACTGAACTACAGCCAGCCCAATTTTTTACCTCTTAATCTCAACATTGCATTGTTCAGTGACCTCATATTAAAATATGAATCCTTTTTTATTTTTAAATATTTTTTAGTTGCAGCAGTAGCTTTATTTATTTATTTTTATGTAGCGCTGGGGATCAAACCCAGTGCCTCACACATGCGAGGCAAGTGCTCTACCACTGAGCTACAGCCCCAGCCCAAAATATTAATTCTTGATTACTGGTTATCAATCATTTTATCAAAGTCCTTTAGAATCTTGACTTGCTTTGGTTTAGAAAGACTGGGTTTGCAGATAGATATTGGACTGCTGCCTGGGCGTTAGATTTTTCTGACCATCTTGGCAGTAGGAGGAAAAGTTGGAGAGAGTGGAACTCTGTTGATTTAGACTGAGTTTTGCTCAGTTACAGACTGAAGGACCCCAGGCCCATGTGCTCTTGGAACACATCACAGGAATTGATTTGAGACTATCTTGACCATAGCCAAGCAGAGTTGTTGTTTTATGACTTCAATTTTGTACCTTAAACCAAAATGATTTATGAGCAAAAAGACAAAAAGAAGAAGAAGAAACCACATCAATTTAGGAATCCTAAGCTGAATACAAGTATACAGTTTTCTAAGGAATTTTTGAGCCAGGCCAAATTCCATGCTCTCAGATTACCTATTTAACTAATTTAAACCTGAAATCAACTTTGATATCTTCCAGAATGACTGAATCAAAGAATTGAAATATTTTCCAAAGCAGTACTGCATTTGACTTAAAACCCTACAAGGACAGGGAAGAAAGTGAAACAATTCTATTGGTTTTGCAATTAATTTTTCTTCTTACGAAAAGTTACTTATTGGAGAAATCCCTTTGGCCATGAGTTGATTTGAGGAATTTTATAAGTTTTTGAGAGGAAGTCTAACACCAAATGGGTTGCTCTTTGCTTTGTGCAGGTTACTGTTTTTGTATCTCAAAGCCAAAAGCCACAGGGATGGCCACAGTTACTGTTCATCTCAGGGATGTGAAAGAGTCAAGATCCTGGCATCAACAGACTCAAAAGACGTCAGTAATTGCATGGCCAAAGCATATCCACAGTATTATAGAAAGCCATCGGTGGTCAAGCGCATGCCGTCCGTGCTCACCAGACTCTGTCAAGGCTGTGGCACTCACCAGGTAAATAAGGAAGAAGAGTGGGCTGGGGTCTGGGAGCAAAAATCAGGGGGTTTCTTTGGAATAGGAGCACTTTTCTTTGAAACATATGTGTTGCCAATTTATAAACACTTGCTGGTGTCTCCTAAATTGGGGCCTATTCTAGAATGTGATCCTTATAAGAAGCAAAGTAGTCCAAATTTATAACAAAAGTACCTGTTCCCTGTGAGACATCAGTTTACTCTGATTAGCTGTGGCTTTTATAGTTTGAAATTAGAGGTTACTATATTGGCCATCCTTTTTTCTTTCCCAGATTTGTGATTCTGTTATAATGTTGCCACTTGGTTTATACATCAAAAAGTGATATAAAAATGCTTTGTTTTATTGGTAGTGTGAAATTTCTCCTCAAAATGTGCAGCTTGTGTGAGAATCATTCCTTTTTTTCCTTTTTTTTTTTTTAAGGTGGAAAGCCACTCTTTAATTTTGAAGCATGTGCTATTATATTTCCTTGTAATTCAAAGAACAGACTGACTTTGGTTAGAAGTGAAAAATGCTTCCTTTGATAGATTTCTGATTAGACTACTATATTTTAATAGATCTTGGTTCAAAAATGGCAGTGGAAATAAACCCAAACAATGTGCTTAAATTCCACATATGAATGGGTTCCAAAGGAATCAGACCAGTTCCAGGTGAAAAAGAAATACAGAATGAATACTGCCCCGACTCATTTTTAGTCTTCACAAAACAAATATGGGCTAAGGTAATCATCCTCTAAGTGTAGTCCCCCCAACCAGCAGCAACAGCATCCCTGGGAACTTGTGAGAAGTGGGAATTCCTGGGCTACCCCAGTCCTACTGAGTCAGCAGCTCTGGAGCAGGGGCCCAGCAGCCTGCAGCTTAATAGTCCTGCAGGTAATTCTGATTCTATTCACATTTGAGTTCTACTGAAGATGGTTTTTAGAGCAAGAATTGAATGATCACAGAAGTGCCTACTGCCTACTTATATGGAGAAAACTTCTAAAGCTTGAGCTTTCATTTCTAATCAGCGTGATGGATTTGAGGAAACAAAATCTTTCACTGCATAAATTCTTTATTTCGTTCTCTCTTTTCATTTATTTTTGGCTTTGTGGCAGTGAAAGCAGGGAGAGAAAGATGGATTTATGCTGCCCAATAGGATAGAGAATGAGTGTTGTTGTTGTTGTTGTTTTTTAATGGCAACTCCTATCACAATCTCAGTCTCCCATATTCTTGAGTTGCCTATATCCTCCCATACAAGTAAAACCAAAAACCAAACCGACAAAACAAAAAAGCCTTGTGTATATGAAGAGTATGTTTGTGGGTATATGTACATGTCGACGGGCCCTTTGTTGGTCCATGTTTTCTCTTTCTTTTTTCTTTATTTGTGGTATTTTGGGTTGAACCCAGGGCCTTGCACATGCTAAGCAAACTCTCTACCATTGAGCTGTACCCTAACCCCTATGCAATATTTTGATTGTTAAAGTGCTAGTTTGAGGTGATCTTTGTGAGAGACTAATTTTTCCAGCCTCATTCTTGAGTTGGATTTGTTCAGAAAGTTCTTCATTGCTGAAGAGACTTTATTTAATTTTTACTTTTGTGTGGTATTGGGGACTGAACCCAGAGCCCCGTCACATACCAGTTAAGCTCTCTACCACTGAGCTACACCTGCATGCTGCTGAAGAGACTTTATATAACTTATAATCAACATTATTTGTGACAATGATTAAGTTATCCTTGGAAACATCCTAGGCTTTATTTCATTAAACAGTTTCATGCATTAACATGTAGCATTCTTTATTCTTGTGCCAGAAGCACTGATCATAATTTTTTTTAATGTCTTAAGTACTGACTTTGTTCAGTTGCAAAATACTTGAAGTATTTGGGAATATCACTTTTAGTTTGAGAGGAATTTTTATTTTGAATATCAAAGTGAAACACATGTATTTAGAAGTAAGTAGGAAAATTCAGATGAACTTTTGACTCCAAACCCGAAATTCAAAGAAATGTCCAGATTCTGAATGCTGCTTAGTCTTCTGATGATTATTTGTTCTTGCAAAAAAGTTTTTGACATTGATTTATTAGGAAATACGCTTTGAAGTGTTAAATTATGTGAGAGTTAAGTGTTTTGAATGAGCAGAAGCCTCATGGGGCGAGATTGGAGGAGTGGAAGGGATGAGGAAAAGGAATCACAAAGGCAGGGTGTGGGGAAGAAGGTGCCGAGCTCATGCGGAAGTGAGGGAGGGGCCCTGCCTCTTGAATGTGATAGGTTGGAGAGAAATGAGGGCCTGTCCCTAGGTGTAGCTCTGTCATGAGACTCTCTGCAGGTCACAGAGGTGTGCTGAGACCTGGTCATGTACAAGGCCACTGGAAATTTTAAACAGAGTAGCCCTTGTTGTAGGTACTTCTTTCCTCAATCCTAGAATGACTGAGCCCCAATTCACGATAATCGATCAGAAAAGAACTTTTAAAAAGATTTGTATCTATATTTGCCCAAAACGTTTACAACAATTTAAATTCAATGCATATTTATTAAGGCACTTACTGAAATGACTGAATTTTTTTGAGGGGAGGATGCTGGGAATCAAACCCAGGGGTTAGCACATACTGAGCCCATGTTCTACCACTAAGCTATACCTCGAGCCCCTGAATTAATTTTGTCAACAAGATTATATTTGTTCGAAAGAGATTGTTCCAGAAAATGAAAAATTACACTTTTTGTATTAAGCATTTTAAAAAAACGGAGTTCAAGGTTATGCAATATGTACAAAAATCTCAGAAATAGAAACACAATGGCACTAATAATATAACTGAGTTTCTCTGATGGACCCTTTGGGAAGAGGAAATAGTCACCTTAAATATGGAACCTCTTCCTATCTAGGTGGTGTTTACCAGTGATCCTCACAAGAGCTACCTCCCTGTGCAATTTCAGTCACCCAGCAAAGCAGAGACTCAGCGCGGAGACCCATCTATTATTTCTGTAAGTACTGTCTTGTGTTGTTTTAGTCTATTTGGGCTGCTGTGAGGCGGGGTGGCTTACACACAACAGAAACCTGTTTCTCTCAGTTCTGGCAGCTGGGCAGCACATAGGTAGGTCAAAGCACTGGTAGATGTGGCCTCTGAGGAGGACCTGTTTTCTGGTTCTTATATCTTGGTGCCTTCTGTTGTGTCCTCAGATGGTGGAAAGGTTGGGTTCTCTCTTGAGTTCCTTTTCTAAGGACACTAGTCCCTATCCTGAGGGCTTCACTCTCATGTCCCGATCACTTTCTGAAGGCCCCACTTCCTAATACCATCACTTCAGGAATTAGGAATACAGCAAAAGTTTTGCCCACACAACATTCTGACCATAGCAGGTGTGTATCCTGCGGTGGATTCTTGCTTTTATCCTTTATCCTGATGACCTATATTAACTCTGATAGTAGTCACTGGTTTTAACAACCTTTTGATTATTGGTGGCAAATGATACAATGAGGCATAAAAACCTCTTTAAACATTTGTAATGTGTTTTGAAATACATTATTATCAAAATTCTTTTTTTCAAAGTGGATTGTTTACTGATTACTTTTGGGCTAATGTTAACACTTGTTCACATTATCTTTTAGTCACTGTTATAGATGACTCTGATTTCATTTCTATAAGAGAAAAGGCATCTTTGATTTGCTATAGGCAATCATCACATAGAAAACTGTTTTACCTTGATTTTCAACTTAAAATGAGCGCTCAAGATATGGGGAATGAAGGTTTTAAAATTTCTTTAACTTTTTATTTTGAGATTGTCTATTTTTTTAGTTTTTTTGGGGGGGTGAGGAAAGTGAAAATACAAGAATTAGCTTGCTGCAGTCTGGCTGGGCACAAATCACGAGCCACTCAAGCAGGAACAAACTTTATTTCCAAACTCCCGTGTATACCACGCACGTGGCCTTCTCCCGGGACACACCACACACCAACCGGAATTCCTCCTCCAGAAATCCCTCCTGCAACACTTCCCCAACCAAGGCGAACTCCCCAGGAACTCCAAAGTAGCAGACCCAGGCAGGGGTCTGCAGGGGTCTAATATACAATTAAATACACAGCTTAACATAACCATCATCATCTCAATGGCTTGCTGGCGTCACTGTCACCTCTCAACCACTCCGTTCTGGCAAAAATGCCATGCATCGGTTACACATCCACATTTTTACATAATGCCATATTAGTAACTGTTGTGTAACCGATGTGATTCTGCAATCTGTATTTGGGGTAAAAATGGGAGCTCATAACCCCCTTGAATCTAATGTATGAAATATGATATGTCAAGAGCTTTGTAATGTTTTGAACAACCAATAAAAAAAAAAATGCCATGCGTCATCCCGACTTGGCTGTGGCCCTCAACATTAGCTGTCTTTTTAAAAATGGTTTAATGGAAGTACAGTAGTGAGTCTCAGTGTTAACACTAGAATTTGAGCTTAGAGTCAAGTTAGTCATGGGAATCGAACCGTGGCTTGTGACCTATCCCAAACCAGGTTGACCTGGGAGCCACCTTGTAAAGAGCTCTTTGTGGGAGCAGGTATCTAGCCTCCGGTTCATAGCCAGCCAGGACCTGCACCCTGTCTCACATGATCTCTTTAGAAGTTCATTTTTTTTTTTTCCCCAGTGGTGGACAACATGATCACAAATCCATTTATATGTGGACAAAGTTATATTTTAGTTTTTTTTTTTCTTTCCCAATTTGTTTTTGTTGTAGTAAGAGACACGTAGCACAAAATTTACCATCTTAACCATTTTTAGGTGTTGAGTTCAGTGGTGTGAAGTACATTCATATTGTGCAAACACCACCACCATCTAATTCCAGAATTTAAATTTAAATTTTACTTAATAGCTTTGAATTAAGGAGATTCCTGTTTAAATGTAGCTCAAAGATTTCTTAAAGACTGTATTGACATTCATTCCCCTGTGTTAACAGTCCTTTATTTTGTACGATGCTGAAGATGTAATTTTATGAGCATGGAATTTGTTAGCTCAGCCTCTTCATGCATTCATGAAGGCTGATCCCAGCCTACTGATTACATCTGTTGGGGCTTGCATAAGGGAGGAGGGTAGGTGCTGAGGCCCACTGTTCTAGTAGCTCACTAGATAATTGAAGAAGAAATTGTTTTGCCTCCCCAAGCCAAACAACAACAACAACAAACCTTCAGAAAGGTTATGCCCAAGGTCTGAAGACTTAGTTTGATTCCACTACTGCACATTGGGTGCCCGGGACCCTGGAAAAATCAAGGGACACTGTGTATCTCCAGCGTTCCCTTCTGGTTGACAGAAAAACAGCTTTTCCCTCTTGCAGATACATAATATAAGCATTCTTTCCTGGGACTTGGCATTGCATTGTTTTTTATGGAAAGTTTTAATTTAACTAACAGGTTTTGGAGGATAGTTTTTCACAAGAACAGTTGGAGTGTATTGAAAATCATTATATATTTTTTTCTCAAATTTGCTTCAAATTTTTTTGGTAGCAGGGATTGAACTCGGGGGTACTTAATGACTGAGCCACATCCCCAGCTCTTTTTTATTTGAGACAGGGTTTTGTTAAATTGCTTCATGCCTTGCTAAATTGCTAAGGCTGGCTTTGAACTTGCAATCCTCCTGTCTCAGCCTTCTGAGCTGCTGGGATTACAGGCATGTGCCACCACATCCAGCTGTACTTCATTCTTAAGCATTCAGATTTTTTTAAAAATAAGGGAATCTCTTCTAGTCTTTGCACATAGAAAATTTACTTCAGAATCTCCAGATCTCTTCACTAGATTAGAGCAATTTAAACATAACTAACAAGACTATTTTGAATTTTGGGAAGATCAATATGATTAGAAATAAAATTTGAATATAATTTCTCCAAGTCAGGTCAGGTGAAGTGGTGAGAGTGTTTCTCCTTGGCTAGCTCACTTTAGTTCAGTTTATGGTTTTCCAAAGAGTAACATTGCCTTTGGATTAGTATTTAGCCAGCTTTGTTTTATTTTTCCTTTCTGGCTGAGAACTTAATAATATTTGGATGTGTCCAGAGTATGCCTCTTTCTTGAAAAGATCACAAACCATTAAAGAGGATGATTATGAAAATTCAGCTCATGATCATTGTAAAATAAAATGTAGCTCAAAACTCATTTAAAAGCACCATTTTGCTCTTTTGACGTCAGAAGAGGGCTATATTTAGAGCTAAAAGAGATAGAACAGTTGGACTTAAATGATATTTCAAACTCCATGAATCAGATTGTGATCTGTATATAGGTGTAGCACAGAGGCCAGCCCCTGGTCACTGTAGAGCTCTTGCCCTAGTGACAGTGCTTGTGTGTAGACATGAGGTCCCAAGCAGTGCAGAAGGGTCACCCAGCTCAGCTTGGTGGGGCTCAGAGTCTCTTAGTCTCTTACTCTATCAGCAAAGATCGAAGCATAGTATGTAGGTAGAGTTTAGAGGAACAAGGTGCAGTTTCAGACATTGGATGGGAAGAATAAGTAAAACATGTAACTCGAGTCCTTGAAATACAGTCTGATTCATGGGTTAGAAGGGGCTAGAAAGACCAGTTATCCTAGAGATCTTCCTGCAACAGTGATGACAGCAGAGGACATTTTGTATCTTCAGGTCAATGGCACCGACTTTCCCTTCCGAAGCGCAGGTGTCCTCCTCCTCCTCGTGGATGCGTGCAGCGTTCCCTTCCGGTTGATAGAAAGAAAGCTTTTCCTTCTTTCTGATTTCAGTCGCATGGAAGAGTATTTGAAAACAAGCATCCCTCCAAGGTAGGTCTGGCTCACTCTGTACCAGGGATAAGCCACCTTGAGGATGTGGAGTCCTCTACACAGGTAACACTGGTCACCTCGCAGCTTTGGTATGTCTACCTGGTCTTTAACTCTGTGGGCATTCGGGGCTCTGCGAAAGGTACTCATTCCTTTTCACCTCAGTGTGATGCCTGTGTGGTCCAATCAGTTGACAAGCTGTTACTTATCCATGGCAGAACTGAGATGTTAGAAGATTTTGCAAATGACAAGAATGCTCTTAGGAAAGTTCCTTGTGTGGAACACTACTGTGCTGCTTTTTAGTACTAAATTGCTCTATGAAGGTTTATTACCATTTTGAAGTACCTTTCCAGGCAGTTTTCTTTGTCCCACTGATTGACCCTTACACAGCACTCTACTATATTTAGGAAGTCATTGCTTAGTCATTTGGAAATGACTGTAAAAGGGTAAATTAATTTTTAAGTGGTTGAGTGTCTGGTCTGTCTGTTTTTGGTTGTTGTTGATATCTGAAGAAAGATGTACAGGAGAGAAATCTTTCTTTTTCTGGGTTGGTCAGACCTTTCCTGGGGGAAAAGATGTGAACTCAGGGTCCTCTCTGCCCCTTAGCTTTGCTGCAGATGCTGAGTGCAGCCATTCAGGGAAGAGCATAAGCTTCCCAGGGAGTGAAGACCTGTCTAGCTTTCAAATCGTTTTCAGTTGATGTTATTACTTATGTTTTTATAGATCACAGGATCAGGTCCCATGAACTAAGTGGATTATTTTGGTGCAGTATTCCATGTGTAATATAAAGTCATCCTTTAGCATCCATGAGGGATGGTTTCGGGACCCTCTGCGAATACCAACATTTGAAGATGTTCAAGCACCTCATATAAAAATGGTGTCATATTTGCATATAACCTGTGTACATCTTCTTGTATATTTCAAGTCATCTCTAGATTATGTGTAAACGCTGTGCAAATAATTGTTATACTGTATAGTTTAAGGAGCAGTAACAAAGAAAAAAAAGTCTGTTCATATGCAATACCGATGTAGTTTTGTTCCCAAATATTTTTGATCTGATTGCTTGAATTCATGTATTCAGAACCTGTGGATATGGAGGGTTGGCTATAGTTTTATCTTATGGTTCAAGATAATTATTGGAGGTTACCATATTCTTTAAGGGTTTCAAAGTTTTTCCTAATGATGAAAACACATGCACTTATTTCCCCTAAAACAGTCTAGGATATAAATTTCACCACAAACATTTAGGACAACACAGAAGTCCTGCAAGTTAACCTATAGATTTGAGTTAAAAACCAACTCATTAAAAACGTAGTTTCTAGAAAGAGTAAGAAAGGCTTTTGAGAGATCAGTAATACCAATTCTTGATCTGGCTGCTGGTAACGCAACTATGTTAAGTTTGCAAAAACTTAAGTCGTTTGGACACTTAGGAATGTGTTCCTGTATGTATGTTGCATTTTAACCAAGTATCGAGAAATTATGGGGCAACTGGCAGTGATTTCTAGGAAGACTGAAGGCTTGCTTGTGTGTGTACATGTATGTGTGTGGTTGTGTGCATATACCTGGGGGCACACGGTGGCACGTGGTGGCAAGCTGATCTGTTAATGTTCTCACAGCAGAGTCCTGAGTAATTCTGACCTGTAAACAAAAGTCATGTCTTCAGGGTTGCTGAGGACAGTCCTCTGGCTGATTTTGAATTGAGGTTCCACTGCTTTAGAAAGATCGACCCCAGCACAGAACTTAACAGTCTTAGTCTAAAAGTCAAGGCCCACATTAAGAAATTAAATACAATACTGAATTGTGATATATTCATACATGCACATAGCATAATTTCGTCAACTTCATTCCTCAGTTCTTCTTCTTTCCCTCCCTTCCTCCCTCCTCATTGGTCCCCCTCTTCTATTTGACTGATCTCTTCTATTTTCATAAGATCTCCTTTTTGTATTCCTTTTTTATTTCTAGCTTCTGCGTATGAGAGAAAACATTTAACTCTTGACTATGGGAGTTTGTCTTATTTCACTTAGCACAATGTTCTCCGCTTCCATCTATTTACTGGCAAATGCCATAATCTCATTTTTCTTTTTGTCTGAGTAGAACTCCATTATGTGTGTGTGTGTGTGTGTGTGTGTGTGTATCACATTTTCTTTATCCATTTGTCTGCTGACTGACACATAGGCTGGTTTCATCACTTGACTGTTGTAGGTTGTGTTGCTATGAAAGGTGGTATGCATGTATCACTATCATATGTTGATTTTAGTTCTTTTGGATAAAAAACAAAGTGTGGGATAGTTGGGTCGTATGGTGATATTGTTCCTAGTCTTTGCAGAAGTCTTCATACTGCTTTCCAATGTGGCAGTACTAATTTGTAATCCCATCAGAAATGTATTAGTATAAACTCTTTAAACAAATTACAATAATACAAGGGACTTGTTAATATAAAATACTAAAATAAACCTTGAAACTATAGTAACTAAACCAGGAAAAGGATCCACAAGGATCAGAGTACTATGGCGATTTACTATATGATAACGATGGCAAGGTTTAAAAGATGTAAACTTTTTTCAAAAACCATGGAGAACACTTTTGTTTTATTATTTTTTTATTTTTTAATTTATTTTTTATAGTCCTAAGGATTGAACCCAGGGCTTTGTGCATCTTAGACAAGCATCTTTCCACTGAGCTACACTTTCAACTCTTATTTTTATTTTTTAATATTATGTTTATATGGAGCCAACCTAGAAGCCCTTCAGTAGATCGATGGATAACAAAAATGTGGTATATATACACAATGGAATATTATTCAGCAATAAAAGAGAATAAAATCATGGCATTTGTAGGTAAATGGATGGAGCTGGAAAATGTAATGCTAAGTGAAGTTAGCCAATCCCAAAAAAACAAATGCTGAATGTTTTCTCTGATATAAGGAGGCTGATTCATAGTGGGGTTGGGAGGGGGAACATGGGAGGATTAGATGAACTCTAGATAGGGCAGAGGGGTGGGAGGTGGAGGGAGGGGTTAGTAATGATGGTGGAATGTGATGGACATCATTACCCTAGTACATGTATGAAGACAGGAATGGTGTGACTATACTTTGTGTACAACCAGAGATATGAAAAATTGTGGTCTATATGTGTAATATGAATTGTTAATGCATTCTGCTGTCATATATAACAAATGAAAATTTAAAAAAGAAGATTGAGTTTATGATGATAAACCATAGGTAAATAAAGAATCTTAAGTAAAACAAAAGCCATACTCTCATGAGCAACAAATTATTCCTTAAAAGAGCCAAGTCCTAGCTGCTCTCTGGGTCAGACGTCAGTAACTTTCGCTTTCTCTACTTTGGAGTTTTCCCTTGTTGTAGTAAAGTGAGAAGTTCCATCTGGAGCCAGAAAATTGGAACCTGTACTAGCAAGAATAAAAAAGCATCTGAGCTGTTTTTCTTTTTGATTTCTGCTTTTATCTGGAATTTCTATGTTGTACTCAGTTCAAAAAGGTACTCAATAAATACCTGCTGGATGATGAGAATTGACTCCGATTTTCTCACTTTCACTTACAGGTCCATTGTTCTGTTGAGCACAAGAGGAGAAATAAAGCGGTTGAATATTTCAGATTCATTAATACCTCTGGGATTAGCCAAACCAGCTCACCTTTATAACAAAGGTTTGTATTTGTATTATTCTATCAAGTTCTTGTGAGGCTAACAGCATATGCACTTTTACAGTGGAATTGAGCTACCAGGCTGTTTTCATGAGCTTGTTTGGCAGGTACAGGCATCATTAAGATAATATCTACATAAGGGGGACAATGTTAGAGGAAGTGTGTTGGGATATGGTTTGTTACTTGGGTGGTAAGAGCTCATGAGTTCATTCGCTGATATGAGGAATTGTAGAGTGCTTATATGTATATATATCTTCATTTTGCTCAGCCCTGACTTACCTCCTGCATTATCTTGCTGGAAACTAGTAACTATACAAATTGATCTTTCTTTTTTTTTTTTTTTTAGGGAGTACCATATTTTTGGGATTCAGTGGAAACTTTAAACCATCATGGACTAAGCTATTTACCAGTCCTGCTGGACAGGGTCTTGGGGTGCTTGAAGAATTCATACCTTTGCAGCTAGATGATTATGGATGTCCCAGGGCCGGAAGCATCCGCAGAAGAGATCTGGAATTGTTAAAGCAAGCTTCAAAAGCGCTTTAGAGACTGACTGTAACTTAAGTGCTGGGGGAAAAAATGTGAACTAACTTATTTAATTTATGGCATTTAAAAATGACACTGTTAACCCAACAGAACCGTTTTCTTGTTTGATACTAAAAGGGGAGAAAAGAGTTTTAAAGGGATTGCTTGAATACCAGTTCGTGCACCTTCTAATTGTACAAAATGTTTAAGGATTTATTTGTCTTGGTAAGGCTGGTGTATTCAGAGAGCAGTTCTCTTGTTCCTCACCTTGCGCCCTACTATTTGGTAATGACCATATATATATATATATATATATATATATATATATATATATATATACACACATTTTGTATAATGGGCATGGCGGGGTGGGATGGGGGCTTCTAAGAGTCAACCTGAGCTCTTTAGAGGACCTGCTACTGTAGCACCTTGGATACTTGAAGTCTAATGCTCAGTTGTGTTGTAAAGCAGTTGATTTGGGTATCTGGCTCGTTCAGCAATGCCTGGGGCCCTATTTCTGGGAAGCCTTTGAGAATTTTGTATGATGCCGAATGACAGAATTTTACATGACAACTCAGGCCCAGCTCATGCCCTTTTTTGCCTGGACATGTGCTATTTTTATTCATTTGTATATTGATTACTTCTAAGGAATCAATTTTCAAACAGGAAGTATATTGGGACAAAAGGGCTTTGGGGGACGAGAAATCCCTTTAATCTGTGACCATTGAGCAAAAATTTGACCTGCACCAGGGTCTGAGGTTGTTGGGACCAGTTTTTGCAGCTTTAATTCTTAGCCTGTCTTGACTGTGTATTTGTTTGAAATGCAGAGCTGAGCTGAACAGTTACGTTTTTGTTTTTGTTTTTGTTTTGTTTTAAAGAAGCAGGATGTTTTCCTGAACTGTAAACTTTGTTATTTTTAACTTGCACAAGGGAAGTGTGTTCTTGTTGTTGCTCTTGCACCTAGGTTTTTTGTTAATGTTTTAGTGTGGATTTTTCAGAAGCTTCTCTGCTCACCATCCTGCCAGGAAAATCCCAGAAAGCTTAATGATACTCCAGAATGATGGGGGGAGGCGGGCTTTTTAAAGGGTCAGAATCATGAAGCGAATATTGAGAAATGAGCCTCTTCATAGCCTTAAAGGAGTGAGTCACTCTGCATTAAATGGTTAAGGAATTAAAAAGGGCATCATGACACCCAGTTTCCCTTTCCACTGGGATCATGTGTCTCCTGCCAGTGAGGGCTGTGTGTGGCAAAAGGAGATTGGCTCCACAGCCTGGGTGTTGCACATCAGGAGGAAAGATACTTCAAAATGCCTTTATATTTTTATAAACCCACAAGGCACAAGTCTGGTGGAGGGATGGCCAAGGGTGTTCAGGCGGATGTTGGAAATAAGCATGGACAAATTCACTTTCCTCTACCAAGGGCCAAGGCTGATGGCCTGTACTTCTGTGTCCAGGAGACACTACAGAGCAGCTCTGTGACTTCTGTTACTTTACAGAATATGCTACCTCAAAGTGCTACCGATAAACCATTCTAACTGTAAGTGCTCGTGTTAAGGGCACGTGTCTTAATCAAAGTTTGGTTATCTGTTTTTTGGGTGTGGGTTGTTGTTGTTGTTGTTGTTTTTTCCCTTGTATAGTGATGAGTGAGATCTTACCTATTAAATATATTATTGGATCATGGTTCCTGAAAGTGATTAAAGTTTGTGTGTATGTGTGTTTTATGAGTTAAATATCTATGATGTGTGTTTTTTAGAGTTTGGTTCTTTAAAGATTTGGGGAGGATGGGTAAGTTTCAAGGCACTCAGTTTTTTCTGATTTATATACTAATAATCAGGGTCTAAGTTAAATAAATAAAAATAATGTATGCATGTATTTTATACATGTGTGTCTGTGAATCTCTGATTTTTTTTAAAGTTCTGCATTCTAGCTGCAAAGAAGTTATTGGCGGAAATAAGGAAAGCAAATCCAGTGAGTAGATTTTGTAAGGCTGAGCATCAGCAGGGTGGGACCATCGTCTCCATATTCTCCAATCCTGGCTGCACATTGGAATCACCATGGGGAGCTTTACAAAATACAGAGGCCTGGACCCCACCCTGTAGATTTGAATTAATTGGTATGGGGTGCAGCCTGGGCATTGGAATTTTTTTATAGCTCCCTGGGTGATTCTAATATGAAGCCAGGTTTCAGAATCACTGTACTAACACAATAATAGGCCCACTGTTGAACTTCAGTCTGTAATTTTTTTTTTTTTTTTTGTGATTCAAACACAATTGCATTCATCTACTATTTTTATTTGAGTTTTCTATATTACTCATGGGACTTCTAACCCTAGACAAAGCGGTTCACTTGTTGTCTCTCTCTCTCTTTTTTTTTTTTAATAGAACTTTTTTTTTTTTTTTTTTTACAGTTTTCAGTCATTAATCCTCTCCAATTGTTAAATTGGACATACAAGTTGATACACACATTTCAGGCCTTTGGGAGCTAGCAGTCTGTTCTAATTCTACTGAGAAATTTTATTCCAAAGTGATTTATAGGTTTGTAAGCATTTTCTATCAGGTGAGGCAACTGATTGAGCTCCAGAAATGTGGCTGCTACAAATCAGCCAGCTGATGGGAAACACAGGGTCTCTCTATTGTCCACAGACTGGTGTTTTACATCTTTGCTGCGTGGGTCCTGCTTCTCCACCTGAGCCAGGATGCCATAGGCTATCTTCAGAGGCTATGAGAGAGTGCTTGTGAGAAGATGAAAGGCAGATGCACCCCCCCATCATGGAAAATGACTCCAAAGCAGCCGCCAAGCTGATGTGTAGACTTGGGGGCAGGGAGCTATGACTCCTCTGTCCCTAACTTCCTCACAGGTCCTCATGCCTTGGAGTTACTGTTTTGAGCGGGGCTGGGCAATGAGGAGAGGGAAGGAGGATTTCATGCCTCAGGTAACTAGGTTTTTATTCCCTAAGAGATGAAGTCATGTGTGGGCCAGTCTGGTTGAAAGGCATTTCAAAAGGAAGGAATGCACTCGGTTAATCCAAGTGTGTTTTTCTGTTATTCCCAGTGGATAAATATACCCTCAAGACAATGCCTGTTGATTTTGAGTGGCAGAATTGGAGTTTTTCTTCTAGATTTCTTGTTTAGTTTTCAGGTACTTATTAAACCATGCCTAATGACGTGATAAATTCTCCTGGAGGTGAAAACCTTTAATAGGGTGACAGATTTGTATCATTACTATTTGTTGGACTTGGTAATGACCCAGTTTGCTAGAAATGGGAGCAGACTCTCTGGGCTAGAGCAAATTTTCAACAAAAGATGTGGGTGGTGAGGGGGTTTGGGCACAAAAAAATGAAGGAAAGTCATTCCCAGTTCTTCATTCACAGATGATAACCTGTTTCTCATGATTTGCTGGGCCATTTGAGTCATTTGGAAGACGGAAAGTTTTTTACTCTTACTTAGCTTCAATATGAGAAAGAAACCCATAAAAACAATGCTTAATTAGGTCCTCATGTTGTGGGAAAAGGTTGGCACATGTTTTGCTCTTAGTTGATAAAATCGGAGCGTGATTGAACTGTGATTTCTAAAGGAGAAGCTCTGCCCGACAGGATGTCCCCAAACATCAGCCTATACCAAGCTGTGAAAATGTTCTATTCAAAATTAAACAGGATGGGTCAGAAAACATCTTCCCAGATGCGTTTTCTGTAATTTCCTTTATGTGGACAACATGGTGAGTCTAAATATGAAAAGTAATTAAAATTCATCCTCAGGAAAGCTTAGATATGATGATCACAATTGGTTAATTAGAGTTGGCAAAGTATGACCTGTAAGCTCCCTGCCTGCAATTTTGAGCTAAGAATGGGGTTTTTGTTTTTAGTTTTAATTGACACATTTATATACATGAGACACACTGCAGTGTGATAATTCACACATGCATCGGGGAGTTATCAATTTAGGGCAATTAGCATACCCACCACCTTAAACTGTTATCCTTTCTTCATGGTGAGTATAAATTCCTCTCCTGATTTTTTTTTTTAATAGTGGGAATTGAACCCAGGGATTCTCTACCACTGAACTCTACTCTTAGTCAACCTTGATTTTTTTTTTTTTTCCTTTTCCCCTTTGAGACAGGGTTCCACTAAGTTGCCAAGGCTGGCCGTGCACTTGTGATCCTCCTGCCTCAGCCTCCCAAGTAGCTGGTATTATAGGGCCATCACCTTGGCCGGCTCTTCTGATTATTTTAAGATGTATGATGCATTATTGCTACTTGTCTGGTATTCTGTAGCACTATAAGGAGCTAAGAATTATTTATATATTTTTAATAACAACAAGTTGGAAAAAGTCAAAAGAAGAGTTATATTTTATACTGCGAAAATTCTGTGAAATTTAAATTTTCATTAGTGTTCATAAGTAAGGTAGGAACTGGAAGGAACCCAGCCAAGCTCATTCACTTCTGAATTGACTATTGGGACTTTCATGTGGCCATGGCTGAATTGAATAGTTGCAGGAGTCTGTGGCCCATAAAAAAATTGAAAATATTTACTATTAGCCCTTTACTGAAAAATTTGCTGACCCTTGATCTCAGTGAAGAGTTTACTGGTGTTCATTGTCCTGTTCTTGGAACTGCTTACATTGTGAGAATTTAAAAAGTAGCCAGTTAAGGAAAAATCCCTTAGCAGAATTACATGCAGTGTTGATGAAAATGCAGAACCCCAAACCCAAGCTCAGCCTTAGAATTGTCATCCCCAGCGGGCAGAGCAGAGAATGAAATTCCCTAACAAGCTCTGCAGGGGTTTCTTATCAAGGATGAAGTTTGTAAACCCCATTGAATGTAGTGAGTTCTTTCCCCTCAGCAGAGAACACTTCTGGACATATTTGAAGTGTTTCTTTTTGTAATCTTGTTGATGCCATCTACATGGTCTTCTCCAGAACTTCTTTTGACAGTTTAGGGCAGAGTTGATGCATAGCAGGGGGTATGGCTGTTACCTAGGCAAAGGTTTGTGAAGCCCATGATTCGGCCCTCCCTCCACGATGTCTGACGTTCTCATTGTTAAAATTATTCCTTTGGCTACTGTTATTTCCACTCTGTGATCCCAACCATTCTTTGTTTTCTGCAATTTATTATTTTAAGTCTGAAATTAGGCTGCACAGGATAACAACAGGGTTTTTTTTTTTTTTCTTTTTTGAGTGACACTGTAATCCTAGTTAATATTTAGCAGAGGTCTCATTGATAAGTACAAATGCACTTTTTAAAAGTAGAATGAATGATTTTATACAAGCAGTTTGCTTGTGGTACTGTGGATTGAAACCCTAGACAC